AAGGAGCATAGGCCAGGCATGGGCCCAAGGGTTTTGGACTGCAGCTTGGAGCAAGTCAACTTCAACACTGAGGGCTCAACTCAGCTCATGTTGCTGCAGCTGAGGTGGCCTTCATCTTCCCTCTCATGCATCTTGACCTACAATTTCCTCTTGGAAACTCAACTGGATTTGAACAGAGCTTTTTCCATCACAAAGGCCGGTGGAATCCGTTTAATTGAACCATGATATTATGACCAAAGCTTCCAAGAAGAAAGGAATTTTCATTTCAAATCACTGCCTTCATATAGTAACGTAACCAGGGCTTCCTGGAACTGTAAAGTAATGTTTTTCAAGAAGGGAAAGCTAAAATCCCATGAAGGACAGCAAGCTAGACGTGTTGCACATGCAGGGACACACACACACACACACTGATGATGTGTACTCTTTGTGCAGTTAGGCTTGCCACAATGGTCCAGTGGCATGGTGTTGGTGAGCATCCCCACACACAAAGCATATGATGACAATTAAATTCCCATTTGTATCCCAGTTACTCAATAAATATTTTCCATGACACTTAAATATACAAAATTTCTGTTTAAAATACGCATGAAAATGTCTTTTTTTTTTTTCCAGGAAGAAGAGAAAGGTTATAGAGTCACACCTTCATTTACAACATGTTGGGATTATCTTTCTGATTCTTATATACAGGCTAATGGGAATGTTAGGAAATACTTCATATGAGCACATGAGATGTGAATGTGCCTGTTAGATACAAAGCAAACACACACACTATAGACCAGGCAGAAGACACCCCTGACAACTCGCAGGGGTATTTTGCAAGTCTCAGTCAAATTACTTACTGGAAAAACAGGTGGAGTCATTTGTTAAACTGCATTAGGTCTCAGAGGATATTATCAAAGTGCCCTTTTGCAAAAACTATCTCTATCCTTTTCATTTATCACTGTGGGGTGTGAAAGGGCCCAATGAACGTGGAGCATTCTTTGAAAACCCATCGATGTTTGCCCAGATTTCATTCCTAGCATATAGCCTGGTCTAATGCAGATTTATCAAAGACTTCAGATTTCAATATTTTAATGAGGGGTGATGGATAGAGGGAAGGAGGAAAGAAAAGAGAGAGAGAGAGAGAGAGAGAGAGAGAGAGAGAGAGAGAGAGAGACCATTGCAATCAAAATATTTCTTCAGTCCAATGATAACAAACCCCCATCCAAAAATAATGGAAAAAGAAAAGGAGAAATGAAAAAAACAGATGAACCTAAAAAGTCTTGACTGAAGTACTCTGGGAAATTTTTTGAAGAGGGTTTTTTCATATTTATAATGGTTACAGAAACATCTGAAGATGTTTGCCATTGCCAGGCCTCCAACTACAGTTCATTGAAAAATCCTGATATAACACTGTCTCGTCTGCCTGCAACCACTCCACTTGCTCCAAAATTATGTAGCAAAGGTCAAAACACTGCTCCACAAAGTTATACAATTGGACAAATGAATTAAACAGACTAATATTTATACTGCCATGTAATAATGCAGTTATATTATCACGATTTCATAATACAGCATGCCTTTCCAGGGGGCATGTTTTAAATCAGGACACATCTATTTTTATTAATCTGTTATGTCTTAAAAGCATGAACAAGTACAATTCAGAAGCTCACATTTAATTTCACTATTTGTTTGGAAAGAGAAAGAACACTAGCAGGAAAGCAAAAGCCAGAGCCAGAGAGAGAAAGACAAGTAACAACAACCATCACAGCCACAGATACAACCACTACCACCACCAGAAAAGAAAAGAAACCAGTCTCTTCTTTGCAGGATCCAAAGAATAGGTCACTCATCTAACGAAGTGGGCAAAGGGGGAGAATTTTAGGTATCTCCTGATCCCAAAGAGGATTTCTGAGCATGGTATCTCTAAAAGGCTCACTACTGACATTCATTTTATCAAAGACAACACTACAGCAAACAATCTTCAGAAACACTACTCAGAGTAGGAATAGAAACAGCAATTGGTAATATTGAGTAAATGTGAGGGATTTTATCTCAGACATTTTTCTTTCTAAAATATCCAGTAAGTAGAATCATCCAGGAAGAAAATTAAGTATTTGACAAATTGTCTTGAGACGGAATCAATCTCATTTGTAAAATTTATGGGTGAATATGATAGATTAGTGAGGGTGGTGTTAAAGTAGGGGATGCACTGGATGATGTTAAACACATTTCTAGCTCTTTGTAGCTGTGAAAACTAGTCCACTGTCTGGTGTGGTGAAGGGGGTGCTCAGAGTCCCTGTGTAAGTGTAATGCCAATTAAACCAGACCCAGATGTTACCATTTCCCAGTAAGGACAAATGTTGTAGCAATACCATGAAAGAACAGACCTCCAGTCCCTGTTATTGTGCCAGCTACAAAAAGAATTGCAGAGGCAAAAGACGAAGGGCCAGAAAGAGCGAGTAAGACATGGATCTCCTCCAGGGCTAACATTCAACCATGGATACAGGCCCAGACAGAAAATGGAAATGTTTAAAAAAAAGATTTTAGAACAAGTTCTTCAGTCTTTCCAGATACAAACCTCTTATTAACTGCAGAAGATGCACAGGACCAGGAGAATAAATTCTTTGAGATTTTCTAATCTACTTTCAAGATGATTTATGTGTGGAGACCTAATTTAAAAAGTGTATGTGTGAGTGAGTGTGTGTGTGTGTGTGTGTATTTAATGAAAGTCTCATTATATACTTTAGTTTATGCCTTCTTGTTACTGAGCTTAGTTTTCTTCGTACTGGGTGGAAAAGAGAATTATTTTGGTTTGGATGATTGTTTCTGACTATTAGTCATGTAATTGATACAGAGATATTCTGGTTTGAATTCAGAGCTAAAACAGTAAGTAGATACTTTTAACTAAAAGCAAATGTTAACAAAAAACTTAGATTCCCTAATAACTAAAGTAAAAAATCTTATGAACAACAATGTGAAGATAGGAGAATTACTGAGTTTCCATGTCACATAAAAGAAAAACACAGTAAATTCTGGATTGGGCTATTCTCCATAGAGTTCCCGTAAATACTTTATCCTAGTTACATGTGAAAGTTACAAATAGCACTTGTAAATCAAAATAATGATGATAATAATAAAAAAATAAAAAACACTCACTTATCTTTTTAAAAAATCAATCATGAGGGTTTTCTAAGTGCCCATTTTACCTATGAGATATGGAAGGAGATGATGAAATCATCTCCATTGATCCATCTCTCCTTTCAGCTCAGGAGGGCTTCATTCTTCTCAGCTATTCTCCTGCTTAAAACCTAGGCTTCCAGGGCAGCCCATACCTCTAGGGCCTTATCATGAGCTTTCTACATTCACACATTGACTCATATCTTAAAACTATGTAATTGTTTTAGTCATTGAAGTGTGTGTGTAAGGGTGAGTTTGTGTGTGTGTCTGTATGTGTCCACATGAACACATATATGAAATATGAACCCTCTTTGACTGGCTGCATCCAGTAGTGTGTTGAGGCATTTTTGCCCAGGCTTGCAAGAGTCAACTGTGTGCATCTCTTTCCAACCATGTGTTCAGTGACATCACAGTTGGTAGCTTAAAATCATCTAAAGTGGTAGTATTTATGCCACAGAAATTGGCAAATGGTGCAAACCAGGTGCTTTCTATTCTCAGTGAGCTGGTTGTTAAACATTTTACCACCACACTAGTGGTTGCATGCTAGGCTGACCAAATGAGAAGCTAGCTCTTGGTCTGGGCAACACAGCATTAACTTAGCCTTGTTGGAGTGTCTCCAATTTTGCTTACTGTCTAGGGTCTCCTTTCCCCCCAATTTCATAAACACTGCAGAACCACAAGAGGGCATGAGCATCTGGGGTGCATTTGACTACCCATTGTCACTACATTGGGCTCTATTCTCAGAGACACATCTATTTCATAGCCACATGAGTGATGCAGGGCAAAACCAAAAAGGTAAAGCATCTGAAATTCCCTCCGGATATGACAGCTGGCTTCCTGCTGCAGAGACTGGAGAACAATGAGTTCCCCAATAGGAACAAGCTATTCCCAGCTGAAAGCATCAGCTGGGGCATTCTTCAGGAGGCTTCCCACAGCTGGTCTGCATGCTGCTGCTCACCAGCCAACTGCTGGCAGGCAGGCGAGCTTGACCTTGCCACTGCAGCATCCTGTCAGGGGCCTGGAAGCGGGCTTCCTTCACTTCCCCCTTCCCTCCTCAAAGTCTGATACAAATCAAAGAGCCAACAAAATTGAGGTCACTGGCAAAAGAGTTTGAAATTTTGAATGATTTTTATTAAACACCATTAGTCTACACTGCACAGTTAATGAAACAGCAAAGCTCCAATCTCTTAGAAGAATGATGACTGATCATGGATCTAAAAAGCAGTTCAGTGTCCCCTAACGCAATGTGAGCACTATGAATAATTCTTTAACATCTCATGTCAGAAGCAAAAAGGGGCAAGAACTGCAAGCTGGCTTTGTGGGGCTTCCCCACCCTCCACTCCCACCCCCACCCCCTTTCCGCCCTCCCCACAATGCAATTTTCTTTTAGCTGGTAGATTACAGAGTAAAATGTGATGATTGGTAAAGAGGGCTTCTATATTTCTGAGGAGGAGGATGGAAAGAGAATTAATACTTTTTCCTTCACCAAAAATATCAGACGGTAGGATTAATGTCTGACACTGGCCTATCTGATTAGTCTCCTGCCAGGGTAAATGCTGATTATCAATACACAGATGCCACTTCTGTTGTTGGAGTCTACTAACACTAAAGAGAAAATGAATCAGATTTTAATTATGAGAATAAGGCTGTGCGAGTGAAAATGATAAACAACAACAATAACAACAATGATGAAGAATTTAGTCTGCCAGTCGTGTAACAGAACACTAACAACTGGCTCAATATTTTTTCCCCACAGAATTAAATTTGGGGGCCCTGAATTGACCCATTCATTTGATACTGTGTAGCTGTATCATCTTGCCACACATTTTTCTCAATGGGGATAGTGATGCTTCTCTAAGCAAGCAGTTCATTGCTTTACTGAGTAGTCTTACCCAGTGATCCAGTTTGGTTTTCCCACCTGCCAACTCATGCAGGTGAATTTTATCATGTCTGTTGAGAAGTATGTGAGGGCCTCACCCTCACAACTCAATTGATTCTGCCTTCAAAAATACTTTCCAACCTCAAAACTCCAACTTCAACCTCCGGGATGCAAATTTGCATAAAACAGAATCCAAATTAGATATCTTTGGGAAAGATATGCTAGAAGAAGTATCTTTCCAATGCAGACAAAATCTAATGCACTTAGTGATGTAATGTCCAAATTAAAATTCATCCATTTGGAAACTCAACAAAACATATTTTAGGCAATGGTTTCTAATTTTGCAACTTGCTTATTGCCTGAAGATTTTGATCTTTTCATTTCCTTACATGGAAAAAAAAAAAGGCATCCCGACCTTAAGTCTTTTAAAAGTAGTAGCAGCTAATCTGCTTTTCCAATTATGTCATCCAAATATAAAACTACTAGTATTTTCCCAATGAGATTATTAAGTAATTAACAGTCTACAGGCTGGCTAACAACATGCTTACAGCTAAATTCTACCCGGAGGACCACACTAGTAAACCCTTTTCAAAGTAATCCTACCTACCAAACTCAGACAGTTATATGACAAAACCACTAAAAATCCAAAGTTAATTAAAAATACAAAGCCAAGTCAACATCATAACACAAGCTTGTCAAACTCTCTGTGGTTGGAGCTTGGGTGACAAGTGAAGGCGTAGTGGTGGCCCTACCTGGGTCAAGTTGCAGGGCTGAGATCTTTTGGTGTCCTTGCTCAGATGGACCTTCCTTTTACTCTGCCCTCTACTCTAACCTCCATGTGCTTATTTAAGTGTGTCTCACTAAGCCTCCATCAAGATCTAGAGGCACAATCTCTCACTACCATCCACATGTCTCATATCCCTCCCACAAACTGGTATGCTGAAGAGATTCATTTGACGGAATATCTCCATCCCTTAGTCCCTCAAATACCTGCGCACCTACGACACGCATCACCATTTACACTGTGATGAATAGAGCAACTATAAAACAGCAACAATCCTTAATCATGAAACCGAAAGATGTCTTATCTCAAGGGATAGGAAGGTAATTCATCCTCTATGTTTAATTAGTTCCTAAACTGCTTTATAAATGAGTCTACTACATAATCAAGTGGTGATCCAGAGCTCGATTGTCAGATTTGGTCACTGTGCTGCCAACTTGGCACATATTTTACACTCAGTCACCAGAGATGACAGAGAATCCTCTTGCCTCCCTGTTGTATGTAAGTAGATATAACAAGTCACTGAAACTAGAACTACAAGTCTTTCATCCATGAGGCAATATGCTTGTTTTTCTGGGAAACTGCCCCAACATTCTAACGTCTAGTTTCTGGATGTGGGATTTCAAGAATCTACTCCTAAATCCATAATGGTTTAGGATTGTGGTTTAGGTTGAACTTACAAGTCAAGCCAGTGGGCTTCCTTATATAGTAATAGCCAAGCACTCTACCTGGTAAACCATGATAAAGAGAGAACTTGAGTCACTGCAAAGTCATCAGCTTAATTTTTATATGTGACACCAACCTTGGATGTTCAGAGTCTTTAATGTTATCATTTTCCTCTTTTAAGAGGCTCAGAAAAGATTCTTTCAGGTTTCATTTTTTGTGTGTGCATGCATAGGTGTTGTTGCTGAGACTGTAAACATAAAGCTCGACCACAGTGGGAGCATAAAAAGTGCTGGGTTCAGCTGCTGGGATGCTCCCATCAGCCATATTAACAATATGGCTTCAGCCATTGGAGTACAACTTCCACAGCCTTATACAACAAAGGGCCTTAAACTCAAAGATGACCAGAGCACAGCTCAAGTATGGCTGTTTTGCAACTGGGGATATATCTAATCTTGACAATGAGAGTGCAGAGTCATCACCTGCTGTTTCTATCATGGATCTGCATGGCTTACTTTAATAATCATACAAGTTTGCATCTTTCATGTGCATATCTATTATTTATCTGGTCATAACTCAGTGAACAGAATTTGATAACCCAGCATATTAAAGGCTACATGGAATTATATACCAGCAGGTAATTACCAGTAAGTAATGCATTGGATAGTGTTTACCACAAGTGTAAGAATCTTCTGGTGAGCTGGAACGTCAAAAATGATATTTACATTGTGATGTTTAGGGACATAAAATGAATGTAAAGTATCATGAGGGTGTAGTCACAACCAGTGAGAAATATCTCCAGATTAGGTGAATGGTTCCCAATGTTTAGGGCTCTTTCAAAGCATCTCAGGGTGAAGCTGATTTTGAAACTACCCCAAGACTCATTTAAAAAAAATAGAAGCTAACCACTATTTAGAGAGTTTGGAGTTTTCTTAGGAATTTTCATGGAAATTATTCATGATAATATGGACTTTAATAAAATCAGTAATTGTAATTCAGTCAAAAGTTAATGAGCCAAACAAAGGAAAAGGAAACACAGATAAGAGAAAAAAGAAGGTAGAAAACGGAAACCCTATAAGAGAGAAAATGCAAATAATAATTGAGGAAGTCCAGATTTTCAAGCCACTAGGAAGAAAACTGTATATTATTACTTCTAGGTAGTGATAACTTGATTTTGATTTTTGTTTCCATAGATTTGAGCAAAATACAATTTAAAAATCCTGCCAGTTATGGACCCACTTACCAACTGTGTAAATGTTGTTGTTGTAAAGGAGGCAGAGGTGTGAATTCCTTATTGGACACTTTCCAGACCTCTCTTAACTCCCAACTCTAAGTCTAGAGTGTAGCATTTTGGCTACTAAAGCATGCATCAACCAAACTGTTCCTCAAAAGGAGAGTTTTGCACACAGAGAATCCCAGGTGAGGATTTACACTTCAAATAATAGAGTTGAAAAATACTGATGCCAGCTGATGCCTAAAACTTGTCAAAATAAGTGTCACCCTTTCTTCTTATCATTATAATTAACAACATAGGGAATCAGGAAAGGGATGCTAGCAAGAAAGTACTCTGGTTGTGTGGCATAGCATCTTTTTAAGAGTAGCATTGCTATGCTCATTTATTTTCTCGATACTCTTGATTTCATGATGTTGCTACATCTAACCAGTGGGTTTTGACAATGAAAATTCTCACCTGAAGATTGAATCTGTGGAATACACAAAAGTTTAATGATAGATTCTGAAATATGTTTTTTTCTGGGTATAAGAGTATAGTTTGGGGGATGGTCCCTTGTGTCTAAGTTCTCATGTATATGTAAGACCACTTGTTGCATTTCTCAGGAGCCTGTCTTTATCACAAGTGCTTCCCATTCTTTGTTTTGGGTAGTGTGGGCTTAAAACAATATTGTAGGGACTGTCATTCCATGAAGCACAAAAAGATGGTGGAATCTGAGGATTGCATATCAAATGCTAAAAAAAATGACTAATAAAACATACACTGCCCTTAAGTTGTAGTGTCAACTTACAATGACTTCTGTTTTTCACAGATAACAAAAGAAGCATAAAAACAAACATAACCAAAGAGAACTTTCCCCAATGAGTGGAGTTCCACCAGTGACCATCAGTGCGCTGGTAGAGGTAGAGTGATGGGTCGTGATGCTAGAGATAGGAGAACACCCACTACAACAAGTGGGCATCAATGCGCAGCCAACACAGTCCTTGGCGAACGTAGCGGACAAGATTGGTCATGCTGCTGTGCTGGGTCAGAGGCCCCATCAGGGTGTCCAGATCACCAAAGAATTCTGAAAGGCAGAGCAGTCCTCAGTTAGGCCTTCATAGGATATCATGAAAATATGCACCACATTGAGAAGCTGCTTTCACACAACACCACAACCACATGGACAACGGAAATGTGATTCATTTGTCCCTTCATTCATTCGACAAACATTTATAGAGTGCCTACTAGGAGACCAAAACTCCACAAGTTTATCAAGCCCCATTATTTTAATCTTTAGTGAGCTCCAAAAACTCTGCAGCACGTAATAAATTTATGTTTTCATTGATTATACATTTATATTTAGAAAAGGGTATTTCTACACAAAATTGTAGGGAGCCATGGTCTATCTAATGTCAAGCTGTTTGTCATTCAATGTGTTACTGAATTGAAAATATCCTCTTTTCCTTTTGTCTAAATGAACCGAGTTTACTGAGTTTTCTTGGCATGGTCTAGACAAGGCCCATGAATCTGGGCATTAATAGTAGCCATCAGCCTCCACAGCTAAATAAACATCAAGGAGGAATTTGATTTTGTAAGTCTTCTTACCAATTTCATTGGGGATGGAAAATGGCCTGCAAGTATTTTGTCACTTAACAGCTTTTCCTGCCCCTGACCTAGGACATGAGTGGTAAGAATGCCCAGCTGATTTTCCCTTGGTTCTCTTAGGGAAGGGGGCAGCCCTGAGGCTACACTACTAACTAGCGTGACTAGAGTTTTGGAATGTCTGCCTTACGGGATAGAAGTACTATGTGGGAAAAACTATATGATCTCTAAAAACTTGCTAGGTGTTCCCTTTTCATGTATGAATTCATTTGCCTGGCACTTGGTTATGAGAGAGCTCTCTGGCAAAGGAAGCAGCCTCATCTATGTGCTGGCTGGCAGCAAGGAATCTGTGTCAGGGGGTGGGGTGTGGGGATGGGACTGGAGACTGCCCTAACATGGGATGCTCTCCTGCCTTCTTGGAAAGTGATTTCCATGCATGGGTTACATGTGCTTGATTGCTCAGGAGATGGAATTTCATCAAACAATGCATTTATTCTTTATGTTATATATAACATATGGGATCCTTCTCTAGGTGTCAACCTCATTTGATTATATGATACTTTTTAACCTGTACTATGCAATAAAAATAATTTCTTCTGATAAAAGAGTAAATTATTTCTGGCATCTAAAATATTTTCCTATGTAATATAGTATTAAGGAAAATATTTAAGGACCTAGTCATTGTTGAATGAATGTGAGCCTCATATGAGCCAGGATGTTCCCTCGGTATTCTGTACAAAGCTCTCTGTGGCTTTCTTAATTAGACACCATTTTAATAACTGCTCCAAATGAACAGTATAAGCAGCTGGGCAGGTAAGCTTCTAGACCAAAGGCCAGGGGGCAGCATAAGTGCCATTGGCTCGTTTCAGCACCAGAACCTTCTACAATAAGTCATCTGCAGCTGCATGGTGGGCAGTATGAGGCAGGAGTGGAGACCTTTCACTGGGATAACCAACTTCACCCATCTCCACTGGGTAAAACACGTGCAAATACACGGTTGTCTCCAGTGCGATGCAGAGCTGTAACCAAAAGGGAAGCTCTGCAGTTATCTCACTTCTATATAGACAAGGTAGATGTGAATAGAATTTCCAGAGCTAAGTAGATCAGAAATGACAAGGTATGAAACTCAAGGCTTTGAGCAGAAGATTTCACACTAGTCCTCTCCCCAGTCCACTGAAAACCCCAATGACAACATTAACAGGACGTATTTTCTCTCTGCTCTCTCATAACCAAATGCAAGAATGACGGGGTTGTTTTCATTCAAAATGACACAGAGAATTTAGAAACTCTTTGACACACTGTGCTAATGACAAGATTAACACCAGTTCACCCTAACCTCAGCACAGCCACCACATTGCTCCTGGAAAGTTCTGAAGTTAATTTAGAGGGAAATACTTAACCAGATTTTGAAAATGGATGCAATGATAAAGGAAATCCATAAATATTGAACTGCCCTCCAGTTACTGATACAAAATAAGAGAGAAATAGTGGAGGCAGACATGCTAGACAAATCTTAAGATGTGTCCATCTTCACTTGTAATTCTAGAACCCTTGGATGACTCTGGTTGTATAGGCCAGTTGTCTCTGAATTTCCAGAGGTGTAGAAAAGTAGACAATTTAATAATTATCCATTGCTCAGATAACTGGTTTGGGATTTCACCAAAGGTCTCTGAGGACCTGTCATTAATTTTGTTCTCTAGATGTGCAGTGTAGCCTATTAAGAGATGAGAATCTGGAATCAGATACTTCTAGATTCCTGCTTCTAACAAGCAAGAGCTGTGATAACATGGGTGAGTTTCTTAATCTCATAGAGCTTCAGTTTCCTCATGTATGAAATAAGGACAAATGAGACAACAAATGATAAAGCAATAGTGCACTTCCTGGCATATAGAAATTGCTGCACAAACCTGTGGAACCAATACATGCAGATACTCCCAGGAATCAGTGTAAGCTGACAGATGCATTGAGGGGTGAGGTCTTAAACTACGGAATGTGCTTTGTGAGCCACAAAATCTTTGAGTTATATAGATACATAATATTACGTAGTAAGGAAAGATAGTAAATCTTTGTAGAATTTCTACCTTGAACTCAGAATTTTATACTAGGTGCTTTACACCTATTATTTAATTCAACCCATCTCTATCATCCCTCTGGAAAGTTTCACCATCATCATCACCGTTATGTCCATTATAGAGATGGAAGCTAGGAAGTAGCTCACAGATTTAATTAACTTGCCTAGGTTGCCCAGGTAATGCATGACCCAGGTAGGATTCAAACTTAAACGATTGGGTTGCAAAATCTGCATCCTTCCTATTCCAATGAGATAGTTTCCCCATGCTCAGCGATACAATAGTAATGGGTAGCCCACATTTGTCCCCACCTTGACTGGTGCGGAGCAGTCTGTGATTGCGGGGCCAGAATCAGCCAAGTCAAATGAACAGCTGGGACAAATGTGCAGTTTGATTTTACTTCCCAACTTCATTAGGATAGTGAGGCTTTGTTGTGATCCTCAATGACAGCTAAGGTCACAGATGTCAGCATGAATCACCAAAGACCGCGGATTCACTCTGGTAAAGCAGGGTCCTCTTTGCATTTGTTTTGTAACAAAGTTCAAGTGTCATCATGAACAGCACCCTGATTCTTCATCCCAGTCATCAGTGTGTGAAAAGTACTAGCTGAACTTTGGCCCTTGCTTCCAAATGCAAGCTGCGTTATCGTGTACTCAACTGGAGCTAGTAATTATAATGAAGGTTGAAGGCCTTAGTTCAACCTCACCTCTCAAAATAATAATAGTAATAATAATAATAATAACAGGAGCCAACAGGATCATAATTAATTTGTAAATCATTATTTTTGTCTTGCCTCTGTTTCTCTGTGTTGATCCTTGTCAGTGAGTGAAATTCAAAACACATCACAGTTCAAATTAGTTTAAGATTTAAAGGAGGACAAAATTCCAGGGCTTTTTCACTATTTCAGGAATAACAGGTCACTGTGTCAGCCCTGAGCAAACTCTGTCTTCCCTTATCTAAGTCCTGGAAATCAGAGATACAGAAAGATATAAGGCCACCAAGTGCAACTCAAGTCCTTTAAAGTGAAGTTAACTCCATCGTGGTCTGTGAGCTATATGGTTAGAACAGATGAGCATACCTTTGTTTTCTCTTGTCAGTTTGTCGGCCATATCCCAGTGTTCATAGCCCCGTAACACATTGCTAGTGATGTTGACGTGGCTGGCAGCCATGTGGTGAATGCGCTGGGGAATGGTGACTGGGCCGTTGTTACAGTTCCCCATTGCGTTGATGGGGGAGACGTTGTTGAGAGACACTGGGGATGGAGTGTTCCTGGGGAATGGAAAGAGACAGGCCTTGTTAGGCTGGTAGGAAAGAGTGAAGTGGGGTTCTAGGCCTCCCCCATCACTCTGGGATCTCATCAGAATGTCATTTGCCGGAGTGAAGTTTAGCATAGTGTACATATGTGAAGCCCCATCAGAGTGGAGCTTGTTCTCACGTCCCACTGACTCTTCTCACAGTACATCTATAGCTTTTGTCAATGCAATAGCTTTTGTCAACACAATAGCTTTTTCCAGAGGCTCTAGTGGATACAGAGATTATTACCACCCCATACCTGCCTCATCTGACCAGGCCACCCAGAGCTACAGTGCCAGGCTATAGAATGAGGCCCACTCTTCTTCCTTTCTAACATTAAACACCAAAGTCTCCACTGCCTTTGACAACCACCGAGGACTCCATGCACACCACTGCTTTTGTCTTCAAATACCAGAGAGGACTGGGTGGATATTTCTCCAGCATTAATTCTACCCATAAATATAGCTCTTCCTTTGAATACATATAACAAGTGTTGTGATGTTTCAGAGAAAGAAATAGCTCAGAGCTATGATGATTTCTCTACCTGCTGCTGGAATGGCTATCAGCAGTTAGAAAACACTTGATGTCCAATATTGGTCTATCATCAAAGTGTTTCGTGGAAACCACAATGTCAGTTTGCTCCAAATACAGGTACCACAATAAGCAAAGTGCAATTCTTACAGCCCCCCAAGGAGCAGTATTTGGGAAGCTGGGAAAAGTAGTATTCTCTCTCTTTAGGATTCTTTAAGACATGCTACAGAGATGGGCTGTTAATTGCTGACTATTTACCTGCATGCTGATTTATAAAAAGAAGTCTTCAGAGTTTCCACTTCAGAGAGTACTAGTGTTTAGACACATATTTTCATTACATTCTTTAATACTTGCAACAAGGAGTCACCTGCTGGCTGCATACAGCATGGGGGTCATTTTTCCTCCAGGGCCCAGGGTTAGATCTGGCTACCTAAGGAACCTGAAGGCTTGCCCAGGAACAGTCACTAAAGCATGGGTGGCTTCCTGCGTGCAGGAGCAAGGTCTGTGTGCCCCTCTGCATCTCTATCCTCCTTCAGTCACACTTTGAACATCTGCCCAGGCAAACGCATCAATTTATCAGGACAGAACATAATGAGTGAGTAAAAGAAATGGAGGGAAGATGTCTTCAGGACTCCATGAATCTGCATGTTTGAAAGAATCTCTTCCTTATTCCTCTGAACACACCTTATCACACAATCAAGTAACTCTGTCTCCTGCCCCCCCCCCCCCCCCTTACCAGTTGCTATTGTTGGCAACTCTAGTTTTCCAGGGTGGCTCCCAGCACAGGTGTGCACCCTGATGGGCAGCACATACAGATGATTTGGGGAAACAGCAATCGCAGCGTACCAAAATGCTGAAATGCTGCTGACTAGATCTGGGAACAATTACAACTGCAATGCTCTTGAGACTCACAGGCTGTGCCTACAGCTATAGGAGAGAGTTGGACCATTTCTGCAAACAGAGTCTATTTTCTGGTATGTTCTAGTCTGGTCTGAGGGAGCAAATTCGTCCTCACACTTGCTCTGTGCTTGTCTGGTGTGAGTGGGTTCAAGAGTGTTCCTGCTATGTTTATAATTTCTGAGCTACTTCATTACTTCTTGACAGAAAGATTTATTCTTAAGGTAGAAGTGGGATGAGGAGATGTCCAAGCTAAGGAGTCTAGGCACAGAAGACAGTGAAATGACAAAAAGGCAGTGAAAGCTGGGTTTCTTTGTTGTGGTAGGTTGCAAAAGCTATTTCCTAGTGTTTTTCCCCAGTGGTAGTCATTAACTCTTAAATGTCAATTTATGGCAAGAAAGAAAGACTTTCTCATTTGTAATTCTTAAAGAAAATGACAAAGCTGTCATGTGCCACAAATGTTGAAGGAAGTTAGAAAGACATGTGGCGTGTGCCTCTAGTTGCAGCTACTTGGGAGGCTGAAGCAAGAGGATCGCTTGAGCCCAGGAGATTGAGGCTACAGTGAGCCAAGATCGCACAACTGTGATCCAGCCTGGGAGTCAGAGCAAGGCTGTGTCAAAAAAAAAAAAAAAAAAAAAAAAAAAAAGGCCAGGCACAGTGGCTCATGCCTGTAATCCCAGTACTTTGGGAGGCCAAGCGGGGCGGATCACCTAAGGTCAGGAGTTCAAAAACCAGCCTAGCCAACATGGTGAAACCCTGTCTCTACTAAAAATACAAAAATTAGCTGGGTTTGGTGGCACACGCCTGTAGTCCCAGCTACTTGGGAGGCTGAAGCAGGGGAATCGCTTGATCTGAGGAGGCAGAGGTTGCAGCCGAGACACTGCACTCCAGCCTGGGTGACAGAGTGACACTCCATCTCCAAAAAAAAAAAAAAAAAAAAAAAAGGGAAAGAGAGACCACATGGTTCAGGGGTTCAGGGAAAGAGGTACTGGAATCCAAGGAGATCTGGAGTCTAGCCCTGGCCCTGCCATAAAATTGCTGTGTGCCCCTGAGCATATCCCTTCTCCTTGCTCGGCCTTACTTTTCTTGACTGCAAGAAAAGGCAATGATCTCCAATCATGTCCAGGAGTCACAAGAGAAACCAGATCATCTCTCTTTACCACATACATCTTGAAAAGCCCTTTTTACTTTATCACACTGAAAGGTTATTGGGGACTTTCCCACCTACTATTCTCTAATTTATTTATTTTAAATACTCAGTGGTGGAGGCAAGAAGAGCTAGGATAAGTGTCTGTTTTCAATTGTTACTGTTCTCACACTAGGCTCTAAGGTTTGACATATTCTGATGAGCATGTCTGCACACTACATTGTGCTCATTAAATGAAAAGCTGCCTAAGAAGTTGTGGCTGTGGCTACAAGAGGGCTGATGCAGGGCCCACTCACTTCAGTATGCTCTCCAACCCTGACTTAGCTCTCATCACTGCGTAGGGTTTCCCTTCCTGTTCTTTGTGTCTATCTACTTGCAGATCTCACCCTTTTCTCCATATTTCCATGACACATGCAAATGAGCATGCACACAGAAGCACATGCTTCCCACCACTTCTGCCACTGCCACCCTGGTCCAACCCACCATCCTCTCACCTCTAAGCCATACCCAGCCCTGCTGTTCCTTGAACTTGTCAGGCATGCTCCCTCCTGCTTCAGAGGCAGGTGCTATCCCTCTGCTTGGAAGAAACTCCTCCAGTATTGTTATGGCTTGCTCTACCATCATCCTTCTCTAACGTCCCTACTCAAGATTCAGCATGGTACCACTGCTCCCTCCCCTATCCTCAGCAGCCCTTTTTGCCTGCCTGCCTTGTTTCAGTTTTCTCCATGACACTTCCCATCACCTAGTATGCCACATGTTTGTTGTTATCTTTTTCCTTTAACAGAATGTGACCTTGATGAGGGCAGTTTTGTTTTGTTTTGTTTTGTTTTGTGTATTTCACTCTGTGCCATACTTCAGTATCTAGAACAGTGTCTGGCATATATGTTCTCAATGAACACCAGTTGAATAAATGAATGACTTGCTTCTATTCTTTATTTAGTATCCACTACATATAAAGTGCTCTGGAAGGTAGAAGGAGAAAAGCATATATAGCATGAGGATAGGGGGTATATCTACAAAAGGCTTGGCAGAGTGTCTCACACAAGGTAGGAACTCAATAAATACTTGGGGAATGATAGGGTGGATGGCTACTTATTGCAAAAGAGCAAAGAGTCTAATAGAGGAGCAAAATACATTCTTTTCTGGAAATCTAGGGTAAGTGCCAAAACTGTGGTGCTAACCAAGTGCTGTGGGAATTCTAGAGGCGGGATCATTATCCCTTCTAACTTAAATAGGTAACAATTACAACAATAATCATGGCAACAGTAGCTGCAGCAGCCATCATTTGTTGCACAGTCTCTGTGTGCCAAGCATAGTTCAGGGCTTCACCAATATTCTGTCTAAGCCTCACCATAACTCTGCAGGGAAAGTTCTGCTGCCACTGTTTCTGGCCTCAGAGAAGTTCAGCTCCGTCCTGAGGGCCACAGAGCCTAAAGAGCTGAAAAGCCAGGATCTAATAGCAGGTCCATTTTCCTCCAAAGCCCATTCTTTTCATTCCACCAGGTCACTTCAAAGTACTGCCATCCATGTTTGCCTGGCTTCTTTCTTTTTAATATCTCTCTGTGACATTCGAAATTGTTGCTCAGCCTTTTTAGACTCTGCGCAATGTGGATTCCAGAACTCTGTATCAAGAGTCAGCAAATCTGGCCCATCTTGTGTTTCTGTACAGCCTGTGAGATCTGAATAGTTTGCAAAAGATGAACATTTGCAATCAATTTGTTGAGAGGGGACACTAACTTTGAACGCCAATTAAGCAAAATGTTATGAAAAAATTTTACATTCTTCGTTCTTCTTACCGATAGACTTGTATTTCAAAAATTATACATAATTGGTATTATATTTTGAATCTTATCAGTAACAATTTTGTGAAAATTTGTGTTCTCTCATACTTTTCTTCATAGTAGCCTTGGTTTCACCTCTTGGCACAAAGCCCAAAATATATAGTGTCTGATGCTTTAAATAAAAAGTTTCCTGGCCCCTGCTGTAAACTCAGCAGATTTTTCTGCTTCTTCTTCCAATTGCTTCTTTGCACTTCTTTTCCCCAGCTTCCATGGAAGCAGTTCCTGAATGTCTGTTCTCAACCCTCTGCTCATCTCTCCATATAATTTCCTGCAGAGCCCTTAACCACCTCTGGGCAACTGACTTCCCTAATTGCTAGCCAGCCTAGGAGGGTTTGAAGTCAGAGGGTGCTGCTCCTGGAAGGTGCTGTGAGAGTCCTCCATGGGGGACACCACCCTCATTCACAGGGAAACAAGCCATAATCTTGCTTGCAGACAAGAAGCCCTTCCTGGTTATGCAGGGAGGCCTAAGCTCCTTCTCCTAGGCTTCCATAGCACCTTGTTCATACCTGTGACCTCCTTCCACTGGACTGTGTGCTTCTGGAGTGCAGGGACCATATCAAATTCAGCTTTCTATCCCCAGCCCATCGTGCTGCAGATGCATGCAAAGCATTTGCTGAATGAATGAGACATAACCCCTGAGTGACTGTTTTGAGTTACCTCACTCAAAAGCTCTGTGACCTACCAAAGGGCATGTGCTTTCTTCATGCAAAATCTGCTTAAAAATCATTTCAGGAGGCTTTTCATGCAACTTCACAAGCTTAGGTTGTGTTTGAGTTCTTTCATTTCAGAATTAAAACAACAACAAGAACAACAACAACAACAAAAACAAACAAAAAAACCGCATTTTTTTCCCAGTGATCCTTTAATAGCTGCTTACCTGCCCTTGCCCTTACTTTACTCTGTGCTCAGAGAAAACAGTTTTCTCTGGGCCTTTCTCTGGTTATTTTTATTTTCTGAACTTATTTTTTCTCTTAAGAGACAAGCACTCTTTCCCTTTTGTTCGTCAATATAAGAGTAAGACCCAATTCAACATTTTAAACAGTGCTTCCTTTCAATGCAGTAATTGAGTTAATGTGTAGTTCTCAATGGATCTGTTCCCTCGCACTGAATGTTTTTATGATTTCAAAGTAGAGTTCATTGTCACATTGCTTTTGGAGTGTGTTTTCTAGATATTTATAAAGTGGCAGTAGAGACTGTTTTATTCTTGAAGAAATTATTTCGATCAGAGATGCAGGAATTTTGAAATGATGAAAAACTGAAAAAGCAGCTTGGAGTTATAAAATGGTCTATGTCCACAGTCATCTAGTTTCTCTTCCCATCACTGAGGGGTGTGGGCTTGGGCTGGTGAGGGATGTTTGGGAATCAGAGGAGAAACTGATGCTCAGGCAAGTTAGCTAACTTCACGTCTGACACAGAACTGGGATTCAAACTCACTCTCTATAAGAGACATCTCTTCAGTGGGCCTTCGAGGACATTGGGTCCAACCCCTTCATTTTAGCGATAAAGAACAAGCCCAGAGACAGGAAGGGGCCCTCTTAGCTTACCCTGTAAGCCAAGGGCAGCTTCAGCACAAGGTCAACGGTTTTTGGGCCCCTACTCCACTGCTGCTAAGACTGAGCTGTCCGAAGCAGATAGAACTCTAAATAAGGCCTCAGGCACAGGTGAGTTCCCTGAGTCTCTGATCAGCATTATAGTGGGTGCTTTTCTATCTTAGATTAGGGCATTTTAGTATTAATATAAAAATTATCATGAAGGCTTGGATAATTGGCTGACCAAGTGGCTTCACATTTTCAGCACTATTATGCCTTTGGTTTTATTAAACAGCACTTACCATATATCAATGAATATTTCATTGGTCTTTCATTATTGAATGAATCATTGAAAAATCACCGCAGTGGAGTTAACTTTATCCTGCCTCCCTAAAATGGCATGGTGCTTGCCATCTTATTAGCAGATACTTTTATGGCTATAATTTGGCTTAAAGATCAAATAGTTAAATAACTCTGAACCACATCTTTTTAAACTTTTCTGTCTTGCCATTAGCCAAAGCCTGGCTAGAATTTTGTATGCACAAAAATGACTGTAGTTCTAGAATTGACCTTCACTCCTGACTTGTCACTGCAAAATATTTGGGGTCTGTTGAATCATTCATCTTCATGAAAAAGCAATTTTCACAAAATACTTACTTTCCATTGCCAACCCATGGAGATGGGATCTGTGCGACTTTTGAAGCATTTTGCTAAAAGAGAGAGAGAGAGAGAAAGGGAAATAAGGACATCTATTTTGTGTTTTATTAATTCAGAAACAGATGGAAGTGTGATTTAGAGTACATTAATATTGATTGCAGCATTTCGGGATGCAGAGCTGGGATGTATGTGCACGTCAGCACACCACGACGCACACTCGATGAAAATAGCTGGTTAGGATAATTAGTGGGCTCCAATCAGGACCATGAAAGTCACTTGATGAAAGATCTTATACACTAAAAGGCCCAGTGAAATCAGACTTGGTTCTCCAAGAAGTGGTTTAATTATCCTCATCTGAAATTTATTCTGCAAAACAAGCTCTTCAGAGTACAAGTAAGCTTTTCACCTTTAGCTCCAGTTGGAAACTTTTTCCCTGGGATGCAGAGTGAGCTGTCATTTCTAATAATCCACGAATGTGTCAAAGCCAAGCAGTATTTTCATTTGTTTGTTTGTTTGTTTTCAGGAATCACCTTGATTTGCTATATTTACATGGAAACCCTCATGGCTAAAGAGCTTCCCTATTTAACAAAGTGACTGGTCCAGGGCTGCATTGCAATCGAATACTAAACATGCCTTTGTTCCTCGATGGAACTGGGCTGGTTTAAAGGATGGGTTTCCTTGTATTTTCAAGACCACACACTTGTGGATCAGAGGGAAAACTGACATTCAGCATTACCACTACAGGACAAGTATCAGGCTCATTGTAATGGCCTAGCCAGGTGGAAGGTCAAGCAGCACAGATGGCCACAACTCTTGTGGCACTGTGCCTGACTCAGACCTGCTCTCGGAAGTTATATCCCCAGTGATGCTCATCTTCTGCCTCTTTGCTGCCAGCCCAGCCCCCTTTACAAAAGGAGGGTCAGGGAAAGAGTCAGCATTTTCGGGAGTCCAATGAGAATGGAACACTTCTCAGGAACTTTGTAGACCCACACCTAAGGTGCATTCTGCAGACTCCAGTTTTTAATCTCAAGAGAGCTCAACACACTCCTAGATGAATGAATTATTTAATATTTGTTTGGAGTTTTGCAATACCCTGTAAACTATATAGGGCAGGCCAAAGAGGGCAAATATTACATCAGTGGGTCTCAAAGTGTGATCACAAGAACAGCAGCAGCAGCATCACCAGGGAACTGATTAGCAATACAAATTCTTGGGCCATGCCTCAGACCTACAGAATCAGACACCTGGGGACTGGGGCAGAACACTCTTGTTTCAAAAGTCCTCTGGGGGATTCTGATGCCCACTGAAGTTCAAGAAAGAACTTTCTAAAGCAGAAGTTAAGAGTGTAGACATATGAAGAGAAGAGGGCCTGTTGTACGTGACTCCCGTTTACCCACATGAATACTAGCCTTATGGCATTATGGCCATACCACATAATAGCTGGGGAACTTGCTCCTTTTCCCAACTGTGCCACAGCATCTTCATAAAGCTGTGCACTTCCACTCACTGTATGTTTCATGTAAGGCCATAATTTTGCTCATTTCAAACAACTACTTTGGTATGATTTAGCCAAGAAGTCTCAGGCACTTGACAAAAAAAGAAAAAAATCATGTCCTTTTCTTTTTAGATCTGCCCAACAGAAGGAGCATTGAGTCTCCCCAACTCTAAATCATGACTGGTGTTGGAGGGTACAGTGATCAGGCCTAGTATGAAGCTGTTGTTTGCAATTTTTACCTGGGCTCATTCTCAAATTTTGGCTTTGCATTTTGAGATTGCCTTTTTTGTGCTTGCAAGTTAAAAGCCCCAGTTCCCAACAATATGGCTTCGTTTGTTTGTTTTGGTAACCAAAGCAATCAGTTGTTTTTAATTACAGCTACTGCACTCCAAGACTCCCCATGGCCAAAGGCTTTCCAGGGGTGTGGACGTGCACATAGAGCCAGGGTGGCCACAGTGACTTCTCTCACTTCTGAGAGATTCCTGGACTGACCTATCATTTAACAAAAGACTGGCCATACCTATAGCCACAAGTTGTGCCCACCTCACAGAGCAGCAAAAAGGTAACATACTCCTCACTGCAACCAGGAGGTTGTCAAGGGTCATTTGTGAGTCTGGAAAAAAGTCAGGGGATTGCACTATCGTGCCTTCTCTCCCTGGAATCAAATCAGACATAAACTCCTTGCTGAGCCCTTAAGGAGGGATAGAACGGCCATGGCCAGCAGGGAGGAGAGAGATTAAGCCTTTGGCAGCATTTGACATTCAATAACGTGCATGCCATGTCTTATTAGTGATTTTATCATCATGTACCTATAAATTATACAAAATAAGGATTACCTTAAAATATTCCATCAGTGATCTGGAGTACTTCATAGCATGGTCCTTCTTCAGCTTAAACATTCTCAAATAGAGGAGTGATAAACATCGGTAGCTGTGGTGATAAGGAAAGGCTTCTGTTAATGTCAGTGCTTAGTGAAACTTATAAACTGTTAAGAAGAATGCTGATTCACAATTTGCAGTTACTCTCCTATGGTTAGATTGAGAAACATAAGTAAATAAAGAAATTCTAAAGAGGGAAGGGGCAAGCGTTAAAATTCCATTTTGATAAGGGTATAAATTAGGAGAGTAAATGTTTAGTCAGCGACTGAAGAAATCCATTAGTTATCCTTTAATAGTTTAATGGAAAACAAGAGTAATGATCTGGGGTAAGCAGCTTAAGTTGATCTAGAGTTTTCAAATCCTTCTATGACATTTCAGCAATTTTCTTGTGGCCTCCATGGGACTCACCATAGTACTGCTAGCTTTTTGTCCCCATCCGAAGCCAAGGGACTTGCAAAGTTCTTCAGCCTCATTGCATACCTTTGAAGAGAAAGAAAAAGCTAAAGTGGAATCTGTATTACCCTTCAGAAATGCCCAAAATCATTGGTAGTCTGATTGCCTGAATGAGTTACTCCCACATTTGCTCTGAGCAGGAGGACCTACTGGTGCATGTGGGCAAAAGCATGCTTCCCCAAAAACACACACAAAATCGGGATCAAAACGTCATAAGAGGACTCATGTGAAATACAGAGTTCAACTCTGAAGAAGGCAGTGAAATCATGAGCCTTAGGACAATGCTATGGAATTACTGTGAGTGTGTGTGTGTGTGTGTGTGCGCGTGTGTGTGTCTAAATGCTGGTAAAATACTGTTTCTAGGCACACTGTAGCTAAACGACATGATTGGTTTACAATGAGAGGTGGACAAGAATGTCAGTTTCAGTTCAGTTTATGACAGATTAGGTAAATAATATACAACTATGTCTGACATGAGCATAGGGAGACCTCAATCACACAGTTAAAAGGTCTTTTCTAATGGCTCAGGTTTTGAATATATTCCTATTGAAAGTGTTTTTTTGTTTTTGTTTTTAAATGAAGGTCGATTTCACAGCATTTTAAGGTCTAAGCACCCTTAATTTATGATGCTCGTATATTTTGTCTTTCTATTCTCCTTAATTGTTACCGTTCTGCACTGGGGTGATAAAAGGTTGAGTAGTTCCCTTTTTTTTTTTTCTTCTAGTCAAGTACATTCCATTCAGGGCATTTAGACTCTTAAAAATCAATTCATTGCATAAAATCATTGTCTGAGCTTTAATGCAATTTCACAGGTATTTGTGGTAGAATAAGTAATGGAGTTCAGTGTGGCAGAAGGAAGTTGAAAATTCTCATTTATAAGAAGGCTATGGAAAGTCTGCAGGGCCACTGAGCTGGCATGCCTGACTCCTCACTTTCAGCAGCCTTCCCCCACAGAACACTGGGGAGCCTAGGCTTACCCCCTGAGACTTGGCCTCCGCAGCATTCTAGCCGCCTTGCTCTCCTGGTTATTGCTCTAGTTGTGTTGAGTGAACATTTTCCAGGAAAGGCACTTGTACATTTAATGTGGGCCCCTTCTTTTGTTGCAATATTAAGCAAAGGAATTTTTTATTATGTAATAAATCTAGCTTTCTTTGACAGTTGGATCACTGAAATGTCAAGTCATTGTGATGCCCCACTTGTTTTCACAAATACATTTCTATTGCAGATTCCCAGAGCTCAGAGCAACTACAATTACTTGAATGAAGAAAATGGGGCTGTCTCTCTGTAGCCAGCATACTGTCGGGGAGAGAGTAATAAAAATTTCTTCAACATAATATTGCAGTACTAAAAACTATGTTCATATTACACTCACCCTCTAATTGCAACCAGATTTGAAGTGACTTGATAGTGGAGTTTCAATTGCTTAAATGGACCAGAAGACCTAGTTGCTTTAACTCATTTTATTCCAAACTGAAATTCCTCTCATTAAAAAATATTATACACACATGTAATTTACAGAAAGTATTAAAAAAAGTAAAAAATAGAGAAGACATAAACGGGTACATGCAAAAATGGTGAAGTTGGAAACAAAACAAAACAAAACTAGTTGAATCTGAATGAAGTCTTTGGAGTGTATCAATGTCAACATTCAGGCTGTGATACTGTAATATAGTTAAGCAAGATGTTCCCATTGGGGCAGACTAGGTGAAGGGTACACAGGAACTCTCTGTATTAGTTCTTACAACTGCATGTGCATCTACAATTACCTCAAAATAAAGTTTAAAGGCACTGACTTTAAAGTGAATGCTTGTAAATTCTCCACTGACTTTCAGGTTTCATTGAAATAAACTTCTACGGGAAGTAAAATAGCATATAATAAAACATAAATCATGCTTTTTCCCTAAATAACTTTTTTCAAATAATTAAAAGAAAATTACTTAATGATTCACATCGCACTTTTACCACAAAATGAAATTTGTATTTTACTTTCATATTTTTAAGACAGCATGTGTTTTATTAAAAGAAAATAAGAAAGAAGAATATGCAGAGAGGGAAAACACCCATAATCTCACTCACTTATTACAGCTATGATTTCATTTCCTTTCCAGTTTGGTTCAGATGCATATACAAACTTTTCATGATCATAATTGTAGTGTGCATGTTATTCTGCAGCTTGATTTTATTTTAACATCATATTATAAATATATTTTGTGTGGCTGCATAGTCTCTGTCATTGTTGTATTTCAATCGCTGCAAAGTATTCTGTTGGGTGTCTACTATGTAATTACTTTTCTATTATTATTTGGTGTGCTTCCAATTGTGTGCTATTATATATAATGTCAAATTGAACATCATACCGATTACTTGTTCTAGTCTTTACAATTGTTTTCTTCAGGAGAGAAAACTCAGATTTCCACAGTTAAAGTACTGGATCAAAAGATATGAATACTCATTTGTATGGCTTTTCCTACACAATGCCAAATTGCCCTCAATTTACAATAATCAATTTCCATTCCCATCAGCTGCGTAGGAGAGGTCTTGTTCACTGCTAGACCTTCTTTTGCTGTAGTTTTTAATGCTAGATATTAACATTGTTACGTTTTCTTGTTAATTTAAAAAGTGCCTTTTTTAATTTGCATTTTTGAATGAATAGAGAGCATGAATTGTCCCTGTGTTTGTTCACTAATGTTTCCCTTCAGTTTTGAATCCTTATAATTTTTGCCAGTATGTTCATCTTATGTATCTTTGAAAATCACAGGTAGTTTTGACTAGACACTGAGCAATCAATTTCTTCTTGAAAGCTACAGAATGGTGGTGGTGCCTTTCACAGTATATAAAGTAAGTCAAGGAGAAGTACTTGACACTTTTCTCGGTGCCTACATTTCAGAGCAGTGCAAAGAGAAAGAAGGCTGATTGGCTCAGCAGGCAAGGCTAGAGCTGCCCTTATAATCACCCTACTTTTGTGGCTCTAACTAAACTTCTGATTCTATGTCAGCAGAGTTGCTTTTATTTAAAAAAAAAAAAAAAAAGTTCTTTTTATCTTTTGGAATGTGTCACTGGGAAAATATGCACACTAAATCTGTCCAATGTTTGTGTGAAGATTTAGGTACAAATATCCTCAGATTTGTAACAGTTAATGCAGATACAAGCAAGATAGTATAAACCAGTCCTGGCATGATTGATTAATCAAGCCAGATGGAACTGGACATAAGGACTTTTCAGGTAAAAAACTGCTTACTTAATCAATCAAAAGTGATTATTTAGTCCATCTAGTGAACGATGGTGCTTATTCACTATTCAGGGGTGGATTAAATTATTGTACAAATATCTGCAAATCATTGGATAACACCAGAATGGATTATTTCTTCTTCTACCTATTCTTCCTCTTCTTCTATGAATTTTTTGATAACCCAGAATTTCTACACCACCAAGACCAACAGCCAGAAAATTTCATTTAAAATATAAATGAAACCAATAATGTGTGCAGTTAATATCCCCTCTCCTATTCTCATCCTCTCATCTGTACCGCCAGCCCCTACTACCACCTCATCTATTTCCCTAATTCCAGACGCATAGAAAGTCTACTCCACACCTGCAGCCTTAAACACCAACTCCGAGTTGGAACAGTGCCCCCTCCCTTTTTAATAACCAAGATAAAAATTCTTAGAAAACATGGTTTGTAATAGAAATCCTGACAGCACCATTTTTTTGAATTATAAAACTGCACCTTTGAAAAGACAAGTCAATGCTAAATGGTAAAATGATTATACTTATTTCTACCCACTACATTTCCACTTTAATGTTACGAATATTGAAAATTATAACACTCACGTTATAACTTCTGGAGGAGATAATTTATAAAATCAGTGTCCATCAATTATAAATTTTCCATGATATTAATAAAATAGCAAGAACTAATTATGATGACTTCTAAGAGGATGGCTTGGACAAATTATTAATAAGTGGAAATGATAAATTTTTAAAAACATAGCTTCTAATTCTAGCTGAAACGAGTGTAGGAAGATGACTGCAGAAAGGCCATTCACCTGAGGAGCTCCACAGTCTCAGAGTACATGGTGTACGGGGACTTTGCTTCCAGAGGGTCGCGTTCCATGGCATTGCCACATTCAGTGAAGGACAGGGCGGCATCAGCATAATTCACAGCTTTGCCAAATTTCTCGAACTGAAACAGGAAGATGACTCGTCAAGATGATACTCTGTTTTCTCCTTCATATAAAAGAGTGGTTTGAAACGGGGGTAGTTTTGCCCCCTTCCCACAGGGAACATTTGGCAATGTCTGGAGACACTTTCAGTTGTCACCCCTGGGGAGAGGGAGCATCTGGTGAATAGGGACCAGGAATGCTTATAAACTTCTGCAATGCCCAAAACAGCTCCCACAATAGAGAATGAGCTGGCCCAAAATGTCAGCAGTGCCCAGGCTAAGAAACCCTGAAACAGAAGACAATGTATGAATTGGTCTTAACAATGAAGTTACCGGCTTAAGGTTCTATCGTCATGACACCAAGGCTAGCTGAGAAGAGAAAAATGCAGGCAGGGTGTCATATGTAGTTTCTGGCATTGTTGTTGCTGTTATTGTTATCTTTTTGCTGGACCTGATCCAAATCATTGCCTCAACTAGTTTCTATTCATGAAATTTACTAAACTATCCAGTCATTGTAGTGTCCTATAGACAGTACTTGCAACTAAGGGCTGCTTTTTATAAGTCTCATGGACAATGAACACATACATTTTTGCTTTAGAACTCTTTGTGAGCACATCAACTTCACTCTCAGGAGAAGAATAACAAATTGATGCTACTGTCATGAAAAATGGGAAGCTGTAGTATGACTGTTGACAATAATCACATCACTTTCATTGTAAATGATAGTTTGAAATAGTGTGTTAAAAAGCCAAAAAATATAGTACTACTAAATATTTTAGTTTAGTAAAATTTTATTGCAAAGGTTTTAGCCCTGATAATGGTCATGATTAAACTGACTTAGACATACTGATTTCTTTTTTATGTGTAATGAATATTATATATGACACTTTTATAGTGAGTATTTTATAACAGGATTTAACATTTTCAATTTTTGATAGCAGGATGTAAGAATTCCACTAATATGGTATTTTATGTAAAAGAAGGAATATAATGCAGATTTAGCTATTTTAATTTTCTTGTATACCTTTTATCAAAATATTTTCTATGCAACTGTGAAAGTTTCAATTTTCAAAATGGCAGAGTAGCTGTCTCTAGCAAAGGATTAAGTACAACCATAAAATGATTAGCTACAAGTCCTGCAGAATCTCTTATTGTAAATGACTTTTTACAATAAATGTTCTTCAGCTTTTATGAGCTGCAGGAATTCTGTGGTTTTCTTTCTGTAAGTTACTGTGGAGAAATATCGGTTTCAATAAAATTCAAGCCGATTTCATGAAAACTTGTATACATATATGCAAACCAGGTCCTTTCTCTTTTGCCTTACAAGATAATTTCCTTAGGTCATCTGGCTCCACTGGCTCTCCCATTTGGAAATTGTTCTTAGATCCTGATTTCTGAAAGTGACTTTTCATTCATAACCCAATAGCTGGAGAGATCTGTAAAGATCACCTAGCCTAAAGCCCTTCTTCCCTAGGAGTAGCTGATGTCCAGACAGGAAATTACATGATCATAGTGCCAATTAATAGCCAAGTTATGCCCCACCCCTGGGACTGTTTCCTCATCTGTAAAATGAGTGGCTTAAACTATAAGGGTGCTTCCCAGGCTAATATACACATAAGGCTAGCAAAAATATCATTCCTCTAAGTGTTCCTCAACCTTTTTTCTCAATATCACCCCCCCACCACCAAGAAATTTTTAAGATACCATCAGCCCTCTTTATCTGTGGGTTCTGCATCCATGGATTTAACCAATCTTAAATCAAAAATATTCCGAAAAAAATGAATGGCTCCATTTGCACTGAACATATACAGACTTTTTCTTGTCATCATTCCCTAAACAACTCATTATAACAACTCTTAACATAGCATTGCATTGTATTAGATACTATAAGTAATCTAGAGATGATTTACTGTATATTAGAGGATGTGAACAGATTATATGCAAATTGCCATTTTATATCAGAGACTTGAGCATCTGAGGATTTTGGTGTCCGAGGGGGTCCTGGAACCAATCCTCTATAGATACAGAGGGATCACTGTATTTTTTCATGTACCCCCAATGAAATTTTAATACAAAAATATACTTATTCTCTCTTTATGCCCTGTGGCCCCTTGGAGGGTCACACCCCATTGCAATAACTAAAACTTTTTCACCCCATCTCCAAAACCAATTTTTGCCCCCATAGGGGCAGTGTCTCCCCAATTGGGAATGCATATTCTAAATGGATTACGCCAAATGTGATCCCTTGAAAGACATATATATAAACACAACCTTGGAATGTAGAGTGTTATTAGTTCATAATTATATGTGTATATGTCTGCGGCACTGATTTTTCTCAGTTCCTCAAACATTTCATTTGCATGGTCTCCTGTGTACATCCCAGTCTCCATCAGCTCATGTAACAGCTTGTCAAAGGAACATGTGTATGCTCCCTAACCCCAATTTCAACAGATGGCAAACCCTAGGAGCACTTGAGTGCTCTGTAGTGCCATAGAGTTGAGGACATTTAGAGAAAACCTTTGGTCTTTGAGGCAGCAGCATTGCCATCCAGTGCCTTTCAAATCTCTCATCACCTATACAATGGTCACAGGTACAGTTTGTCCTGGCATTTCCAATGGAGTTAGCACCCAGCCTGCCTTGTCATTTTTGTCTGCAGGAGCAGGGAAAATTGTTTCTAAGGAACAATTTACACCACAGAAAGGTTACCTGCAGACACTAAGCAATTTGTACCACAGCAGGGAAATGACAGAAAGTAGGGAAAAGGCAGATGTAAGGACCATGGACAGTTGATGTTGGCCACATACTAGTCATGGTATTTCATCACATCATTCCCAATATAAAACACTACTGGGACAACTAAGTCCTAGCGGGACACAATGCAATGTTTGAGGATGCTATTTTTTAACCCAATGGGGTTTAGTCAAAGTGAGAAGCCTGAATTTAGGGCCTTCCCTAGGACAGTGGTTCTCAAATATCTGCACTTGGGAATCTCCTGGGGAGCTTTAATACTCATTCCTGGGTCCCAGTCCCAGAAATTCTTATTTCATTGGTCCGGGATATGGGGTAGGCATCAGAGTTATTCTAAAGCTTCCCATGTGATGTGTGGTTGAGACCCACTGTTAGGAGCCTCAACCAAATCAAACAACTCAAAATGTTGAGCTTATCACTGATCTAGGTGGCTAAAACATTTGGAGGCAGCTGGGTAAAATACCTTGAGAAATCCAGATGACAGAATTTCTTTTCTCTGCTTGGGACCGCAGCCTAATTGAGGGGCTCACTCTGAAAACATGTCATCAAATGCAGCAAGGAGCTGAGTTTTTCCTCAGGCCTAGTTTTCCCAAAGCCAATTTTTGAGGCCATTTAGACAGCTCTAAACAACTCTCACATTCTCACATGACTTCTGGCTTACTGGACCCAAAAAGCGCATCATTTCCAGGGAAGTTTCATAAGTCATTTCAAATTCACTTGAAAGATAATGACTGTGGTATACGCCATTGAGCTTCTGAAGTTGGGGCAAGGGGAAGAACAGTGGGAAAACAAATGACATGATAACCAAGCCCTGAGAACTTTGGGAATTACAGAGCTAAGTAATTTACCAGCTCAAATCTCCCTGTGTCAGGGCAGCAATGTGTTTACAGGCAGGTGTGGGCTGTGCTACTGAAAATTTGTTTGGAAAAGTGCTTTCTTTGTTTGCTTTTGAAACATAAATCCTTAATGGGAACAAAGCAATGAGAAAAAGGGAACCTACCAGTGCATCAGCTTTGTGCTTCAGCTTCTTAGCTTCTTGCATGTAATAATCAGCATTGTGAACCCTAAATAAACAAAACAAGCTCTTTCAGAAACCAACGCTTCATCTTTTCATTAAAAGACTGAATCATCAAACCTTTTCTGCTATAAATTTATCCCCATATAATGCCTTGAAAAAGGCAGACTAATGCTGTCATTCATATCATAACCAACCTTGAAATAATACTGTAAATGAAATCTGAAGTACATAATGGCCCATTAGGATAAATAACCACATCCTCCAACCCCAACCATTACAGTTGTCCAAATAGATCAAACAAAACCTGGCTATAAATCTGTGTGTTGGTTATATGTGAGGACATGGATAGGAAAGGACAAAACAACCTGCCTTTGCACCTGCCTTTGGAACAGTAACAATGCTGCATAATTAAAATGGGACAAAAACATTTCTTGGTGGGGACAGAGTGGTGAGTGTGTATGCAGCAGGTGGGGTGTACTTTTAAGGGTATAGGATTTGATGCTGAGGTCTTATTTGGGGTGACACATGCATAGCACTAGAAAAGCCATGCTACCCCCATCCCCCATTCACTACTCCAAACTGTCCATGATAATCTGGAACAACATACGAGTCATCAAAAGTGAGCTTGGGTCTCCGGACATTAGTGCTGCTGCTGGATAGTAGGGGCAGAGCCGCCCAGGATGTCATCTCCAGGTGACTGCTATCCATGAGGCCAGTAGTGATGGTAGAGGTGATGGTGGAAATGGTAGTGGTAGTAGTTGTGGTGGTGGCCGTGGCGGTGGCAGTAGCTGTGACAGTGGTGGTGACAATGGCAGTAGCAGTGACAGTAGCAGTGGCAATAGCAGTATTGGTGACAGTGACGGTGGCAGAGGATGCCTTTTTTGGAGTGTCTCCCTCCTGGGAAAAAGGAGTACAAATAGTTTCCATTAGGTCCAGCTTTTTAAAACATCTTGTCATAAATGCTTTGAATGTCAAGCACGTTAAGAAAGAAGGTTAAAAAAAAAAGAAAAAGAAAAAGAAACCAATGCACACAGCTCAAGGATAAATAGGTGACCCTGGATATTTTATGAACACCATGAATCACCAGCTTTTATTCTATGATGACACCAAACATCAAGATAATCGGGTGCTGCGATTACATAGCTCCACCATCCCATTAAGACAGCCACGGCAAAGGTCTAAATCCAGTGGTAAATGTGAGGGAGAAGGGAAGGAAGAATATAGAGAGGAGAGAGGAGGAGGGAGGGAGAAAGGAAGAGATGCATGGACAAAGAGAGGGAGAGATAGAGATATTAAATAAATCCCTTGACCCTGATGTGGGTATTTTTGATAAGGGAACCAACCCAGAAGCTTTCTCTAGGGTATGTAACGTCCTCAGGTCACTCTGCAAAATACCAGATACAGTCCAGCAAAATACCAGGAAATTGTACTCTAATCATCCCTGCCCTGGCTGAACTGAGGTTGAATCAGCCCTTTTGTTCATGTGAGGCTCTTGATTGGTTTCTAGCTAAGTGAAATGTGAGTGTATCTCTATTTTGTTTTGAAATCTTGGGATGGTGAAGCCTCATTTCTACCAGGTCCAAAATCAAATGGGTAAAATACTTACAAGGGCTTTGCTTTGAACTGTCATTACTGTAGAGAGGATGGAGAAAGGAGGTGGTAAGATTTGTAATTATGTGACAGTGTGGTATCACAAGATCACCTGCTGTGTTCAAGTGGCCGACTCTGCCCTCCCGCCCCCAGCAACTATCGGACTCTGCTGACTGTTCTCTCTCTGACCATACTTCCCATGGTGCCTCCTCTTCCTTCTGCTCTTCTGAATTGGTATCTCTCTAAGGTTGGTGTTCCCCAAAGTTCACTCTGCAGATCTCTTCTTTCTTGATATGATCTGTCAATCTTGTGTGTTATTGGCACAGATTTAACAATAAGTAGGTAACACCCAAATGGAAACCTCAATCTTACCCAATCTCCAAAGCTCCAGCCTACAGTGATCATCTTAGGACAATTCCACCAACATGGCCATTAGCACCTCAAATTTTTGGCAAACCAAATCACTGATCAAACCAGTTTTCTGTTTCTGTTAATGGCAGGATGGTCTTCCCTGTCATCAAAGCTGAATTTCTCGATGTCAATAGAGTTTCCAAACTGAGTTTGGCACAATTACACAGGGAACTGCAGTAGTATCTGGGCTAGGGGCACTGAAACTGGCAAGGTAGAGACTCCCCACCTTTCATTGCATCTGAGCTGCTCTGCTTTAATCAGCTTTATATATTGAAGTTCCATAAATTATTTCATTTTGAACAATGATAATGCTCCTAAAACTCTTTTTGAAAACCACTGCTCTATTTCATCCTTAATTAACAGTTAATTGCAGTTAATTACTCCTATTAATTGTATCTCCCCAATATCTCTCGAATTTGTCCCTTTCTCCCTCAAAGCCTCAAAATGCAGGCCCTCACGGCTTCTCACTGAGACTAACAAAGAGTCTCCTGGCTGGACTCCCAGCCCTTGAGCTAGCTTCTGCCTCCACCCTCATTCTGCTGTCTGCTAGCTTGAGCTTCCTGAACAAATTTTCTAGCATCTCCCTGCCCTGCACTCAAATACAAACTCAAGGTTGAAGCTCCTTTGCTGGCACTCAAGGCCCTACCTGATTTGGCTGCAGCTTTCTGTCCAATCTGCGACTGTTCCCTTCCATGAACCTTAGTTTCAACCGAACTGAACATGCCCTTGCTTTTTTCACTTTCCTGATTTGATACATGTGAAGTTTTGGATTTCAAAAAGCCTTCCATTCATTTCTCTCTCTCTCTCTCTCTCTTTTTTTTTTTTTTTTTTTTTTACCACTTTGTGATAATTTATTCAACTTATTATTTTTGTTGCATTTTGAAAATTTTAAAATTGTGGTAAAATACACATATTATAAAATTTATCATCTTAACCATTCTTAAGTGTACAGTTCAGTCATGTTAAGTATATTCACACTGTTGTGCAACCAATCTCCAGAACTCTTTCCATCTTGCAAAACTGAAACTCTGTACCCATTAAACAGTATCTCCCCATTTACCCTTTGCCTTAGACCCTTGCAACCCCCATTCTACTTTCTGTCTCTATGAATTTAACTACTCTGGGGAACTCATGTCAATGGAATCATATGGTCTTGGCCTTTGGTGTCTGGCTTATTTCACTTAGCATAATGTCTTCAAGGTTCATCCATGTTGTAGCATATGACAGGATTTCTTTCCTTTTCCATTTTTGTGGATAGACCACATTTTCTTCATCCACTTCCCTTCATTTTTAAACCCTACTCATCTATTAAGGACCAACTCAGGAAATGCCTCCTCCACCAGGAAAACTGCCTTATGCCTACAACCAGAAGTGCTTTAATCGTCCTTGGACCATTCAGAGACCTGTCTCTATCCCTGCCCTAAGACACCAATCACCAGCTATTTTACATTCTAGTCCTTTGAGCACATGTCTCATTGCTCACTTTAGACTGAGAGCTCTTTGAACACTGGAGCCATCTCTGATTTATGATACTGTCCCTCCACCCCACAGCCCAGTGCCCTCAGTGTTTGCTGAGTGCATGCATGCACGTATGCACGGATGCTTCCCATAGTCAACAGGGTCACTTTAAAGATAAAAGCCAAATGTGAAATGTATTTCTTATATTTATGTGGATCTTTTACAGTTGATCCTGGACCTTCTGAATATGAAATAATTATTACCACCTAGATCTCACTGATATAAATGTGCTGAGAACCTATGCATCTACGAATTGCTATGATGGATACGAAGAAAACAAATATTTTTTTCAACCTAAACATTTTAAAAGAAACAGAGCCGTAAAAAACTTGTAAGCCAGCTCCATGTCTCCACTGCCACAGTCAGATTGGCCTAGACCAAACAGGCCAGCCCAAGACAGTGTCATTTGTCTCTATGGCCAAGATGTGTGGCAAGAACCCTGAAACGTTATATCCACCACACGTGGCATTTATGTCAGTCCTGGCACATCTGACTGGAAATGGCTGAATTCAGCCATGATCATGTAAGTTATATAGAAATGTCATCTCTCTGTACTTACTCACCCGTTGAGTCAATAAACAGGACTTCATGGCTAAATGGAATAGAGAAGACTCTGCGAGCACAAAATTGCAAACGTTTTTGGAGCTAGAAGAAGCTTTATAGATCATCTAGTCAAATCCACTCATGTTATTATCTCAGAGATGTTTCCTGATTGGCCCAGAGTCATAGAGCAAATTTGTTGCAGTGTTAACACTATGCAAGTTGAGAGTTAAGTGTCTTAACTCACAGGGTAAGGCAAAAATTATACCACAAAGTCTCCCAGCTTTCAAATCATTAATAGAAAGAAAGAATGGCCCAAGAAGAGGCACTGGTTGCTCACTGCTATCAGAGAAGCCTAATGATTTCCCTAAGAAGGATGATGTATTTCTAGGAGCAAATATTAATATATTTATCATGTTTACCCAGTAGATTTTAGCCTTTGTGGAAATGACTTTGCAGATTCTTTTAAGCATTATCAGTGTCATAATAACATCTGTAGCATTTATAATACCTAATTATTTGTGACAATATACTAGGCACTATACAAAGAGAAATAATGGAGAGTTTGTGTGTTTGTATACACAGGCCTCTCATACTTTTTCTCTGCATCTTCCTCCCTTCCTCCTGCAACATCCCCAAATGATCAAGTTAGATGAGCTGAGTTAACTTGTTTCTATCCGACAATTACAGTATTTCTTCCAAGATGCTTACATTTACCGATATCCCTTTGAAAGTAGCACAGAATTTGCCTTCAGTTCTCTTAGGTTTGGTAGATGTGATTTGTCCAGTCACAGAGATGCTTTTGTCTTGACTAAAGGGACCATTATTGCCACTGACATTTCTGCGGCGTGGAGGGTCCTCTGGCAGTGGGGAAAGTGGAGGAGGAAATAGTTTCTCTTCCTTTCTTCTATTTGCTCTCCTGGATGAATTATTTCTGTGGAAAACAAGAAGTGTAGGGTGTCATAAAGTCTTCTCTTTCTTTATTCTGATTTTCCCCATGATGCTAGTACTGTCAGCTGAAGTCATATTTTAATTGCTATCCCTCTACCTATGGTGAAGAGTATATATAAAAATGCATATAGACATGGATATAGATATCTATATAAATACAGATATCTCTCTATATAAATATAGATATATGTATACATATGTATCCAAGAATAAATTCATGTCTTTGCAGCAGAACTCCATGAAAAATGTAAATGTCTAATGGAGTGTGCTACAGTAGGATATTTTCAACTTTTCAAGATTACTGTTAATTAGATTTTTATGGAAAATACAATGAAGACTTTAATCCCATCATTTTCCAGGATGGTTCCTACTTATTTTGCCCTAGGACTTAACTGCACAATCATGCAATAAATGGCACAATAAACAATCAGTGGAAGAATATTGTCTTAAGAAATATTATGCTTATGCATTACTTAGAAATAAATAATGCACTAAATAGTTTTGTGACATACAATGCAAATTGTATATACAGAATGTTCTACTCCAACGCCAAGCATAATGAGCCTCTGACCTTAAATTGTTATACTGAAGTACTGATGTACTCCACTTTACAAAACTCCATTTAAAAATATTATCTCGTCATATTCACATTAGACATCTGCAATTTTAAAAGTACTCCCGTGCTTTCAAACTGATTTATCTGCCCATTAAATGGGCACCATCAAATAGTCTGAGACTTCAAATAAAACAGAACAAGTGAAACCTTATGCTAGCTGCTTAACATGGTAATTGGGTCATGGATTTTCATTTTAGTTACTGTCTTAGACTAATCAATGAAGATTACTTGAATTTTAATCTTTTCTTAGACAACTAATATTGCACTGTGCAGCTATTTACTTTTCATGATTATTGACTACATTTTCAATAGCAAATTAAGTCAACAAGAATTTATGTTTTCCTCTTGGTCAGTTTCAGTCAGTGTCTAGAAATATAGATTTACAATATCTCAAAACAACAAATCAAAGATGAACAAGCATTCAAGTGGTCTGATTCCCTGAAATAGAAGTCAATGCAGACTCTTTGGCCCACTTCCACTGTGTTGCACAAATTTGCCAGTTGTAATATGTGTCATCTTCTCCATCTTTTGTTTCATAAATGTGGCCCTATGTTAATTTTTGTTGTGTAGTGAAACTGAAAAAACACAACTGTTTCTGTCATTACCTCAATTGATTAAAATTAATTAAAAATACTTTCCAATGGATTTTAAAAATTGCTTTGACATGTATAACCATTTTAAAATACTAGTGATGCCTGATTAAAATGATGGTGAATATATGGATCAAGATTCTTGTCCATGAGGAAGCTCCACAAATAGCAGATCACATTAAGTGTAATAATTACAAAGGCACCAAGCCTTTGAGAATTTATATGTGTGGATGTCAAGCATGGCTGTGGCATCTACAGGAGGTGAATGGTGGCTCATTAGCTGTAACTACTCCCCCACTACTTGAGCTGCCTGAGAAGAAACTGGGGGCTGCAAGGGAAAGAGCTACTTCTGAGAGGCAGTTACTTTGCCATTGGCAACTACAGTCATGCAATGCCTGCCTGTCTGCCACTAAACCAACCAGTGGGGATTCATTGCATTCTGTACAGTGAGCACCCGTGACCTGGCCCTTTTACATCTGCCTGGTCATGATCTGGAACCATGGGGTCTTTAAAGACTTCTTTGGTGAAAGACACCCAGGGAGCATTTTCTAGAGACCACTCAGTCATTGTTACGACTTCCAATTACAAAAACAGCTTTTACGTCTTTGGGTACCTCTTCCAATAGGCCAGAGGAGAACAGTAGAGAAAAGAAGAGCATCACCACCTGCACTCAATTCTTAGAGGGTCTGCTGAAGGTACCAGCTCTAAAAAAGAAGGGGAGGTCCAGGAGAGTCCTTCTGTTGAAGTATGGAGAACTATAGCTGTCATAGTCTGGTGTGGAATCTTTGTTAGGTTTAGAATAGTCATTTAGAAAAGTGAATGTTGTCTCCCATTTTGTTTGAAAGGTTAATAAGGCACAAAGGAGCAAAGCTTGAGAAGAGGATTCCCAGGAGGAGACTGCTAAGAGGTCAGTCATTGCTTTATTCTTCCTCAACTCCAGAAAGTTTTCCAGAGAAAACTCATCTGTTTGATGGGCATAAGAAACTGATTGAGGCTCTTTCTGAACGATAAATGCTACAAGGGAAACACTGCTTTCCTACCTACTAGAAAAGCAGAGACATTGTAAAGATAGTGGATTAAAGACACCATTTGGTGTAAGGAACATGGCTGTGCTACAGTCAAGCAGGCATAGGGCAGCAGGCATAGGCTGAAGTAAACAGCCTAGATGACTCAGTGGATTGGGGCACAAGCACACAGTCCCACGTCTTATATAATCATAGCCATGAAGACGTAACATAGAGAAGCTCACCACCTGGCTCTCTGCCACTATTGTTTGTGTAATGTATAAATGTAACACTCACCCTGTGAAGGAGCTGCTGAATAAAGCTATGTCTCATTTACCTGCTGTCTCTTTGAGTGTTCTTCCAGCTCCCTGCCCCACATCCACACACTCGCCTCAGACCTCAGCTGGGGCTGGACCCCAACCCTGAGCATGACATTTGGTAAGAACCAACTCAAATGACTAGATCTTTATGTAATACTTGGTCATCTCTCTTTTATAAGATGGGGAAAGTGACAGGCCACTGGGTCACCTAGAGAATGTATCTGTGGGGACTGAAGGTTGTGGCAAGGCTGGATGGCCCAAATTGGTCCAAGCCTGGAAACTGAGGAAGCAATGCCACCACAGCTATGCCATTTTAGTACTTCTTCCTTGCAAACAGTGGAGGAGGGCTCTGGAATGACCATGCCTGACCATCAGGGGAGCATGTCTCCTCACATGCCTGGTCCACCCTGAGGTGAAGGGGTCAGGTTGCTCCACTGGAAGGGTCTCTAGTTCTGAGAACTTCAAGTATGTATGTGAAGGGATGTTTCAGAGCAAAGTTATATCAGAGAATACAGACGCACCTCACCAATAACTACTGATCCTCAGGGAGAGAGCAGCCCAGGACCCAAATCTTATTAGTTAAACCAGATCTAGCGGTAATTGACCTTTTCTTTTCTTTCATCTCAAAACAACAAAGATCCAGACAAATGTAAGCTGATAACTTATTTCCGACATCTTATCTGTAGCAGATTGATGCCATATCACTGATGATAAACTGTAATCTGTGAAATCAATTGTTAGCAGCAGTTAGCCAGATTGCCTCTCTGCTCTGGGCTGCTAATAAGCTCCAAATCTGGGCTTTGATGGAAGTAATCTCTAACGTTGAATGAATTTATGGCAATAATTACTCAGACAGAATGGTTCAAGTAGCTGACATGATTGTTAGTTAAGTGATATTTATAAGACAGAAATAACTTGGTCACAATGCTTGGCAGAAACAGAAGGCAGGACTTCTCTGGAGAAGACTCAAGCTGTTTGAGTGAGGAGGTGCCAGGAGGCCTCCTGATGGACTCTGGAACCTTCCACACAGAGAGAGAAGAAAAAAGGGGTGCCAGCTCCTTGGAATGACATGTTTGGGGAGGCCAGAGAGATGAGCTGTCTGGGAGTGGCCCTCGTCCTGGGACGGCTCTGTGTCAGGAAAAACCGGCATTTTATGTTTTCATTCCCTTGGCTTCTGTGGAATTCCGGACATAGCTCCTGGTCCTCAAGATTCATATCAATGTTAAGTAATGACATCAAAGAGGAAGCAGCTGCCTCATTCTGTCAAGATCAAGGAGTTGCTTTTCCAGGGAAATTGGCTAATCACCATCAGAACTGAACGTTGGGTAGAAGCAAGTGATCTGGTGAAAGTGATAGGGCTTCTCTTGACGCTTCTTGTTAATTTATTTACTTCTTTTACCCTTCACTGAGTGCTAAAAGTTCATTTTGACTAATTTTAGTGATAAATCTGAATTACAGTAAAGAAATGTTGCTAAAAGCTCATGGAGTCACCCCAATTCTGGCAGCCTATGTTCCACCCCTCATCACACCTTTGTTAGACCAGTGGCCAGGGACAGCTGTCAGGCCTTGACTGAGAGACTCCTGTTTTTTACCTTAAAGTATTCTGGGGCAGGATCCCCCAAACAGGTTCAATCAGGATTTCTTAGGAGTCTGAACAATCATACCAAGCCATCATACAGAGACAGGGCAAACTCACTCTCTAGTGTTGGGAGGCTTGTGGGGTGGGGCTGGTGAGATGCAAGGGGGGAGCAAGCAGATAGTTGTGGCCTCCTCCAGGCGCTGCTTCTTCTCAGGGATCTTCTCTGCAACTTCTGTTGGCTTTAACAAGGAAAAAATACACAGAGCTTGAAATGCATGGCACCATTCAGACAACCATATTTTATACACTAAAAACATGAGCAAGATACATAGTTCGCTTTTATTTTAACTTTTAGATTAGGTAGGAGAGTTAAATGTGCACCTTTGATCAGACAGAAAAGCAATCAACTTGCCTAGCCTAGTCCTACCAAGAAGTTGGCATTTGGGAGAGTGGAACTGTGTGATCTGAACCTCTGTGTAAAGACTGAGTGGCATGAGAATCTCACGACAAAAGTAAAGAGAATCTATTAAATTTTGGACACTTCTCCCATCAACAATGCCCCCACAAATGTGTAGTTTGGAAACTAATATTGTAACTTGAATGTAACATAAATCCCGTCCAAGCAGCATGGGGATCACGGCTGACATGTAAAGACTGCTTACACAATGAGCACCGTGCAAGGAAATGAACCACATTCAAAGCACACCTTTGGACTTTTGCATGTGCTGTTTTGAAGGTACATTGTCAGCTGTGGTTATACTGTCATCATCACTAAGTGTGGAGAATCAGTGGTAGGGCAAAGGTCTTTGACTTCTTGGTCCCTATTTTGGAATATAGGTTGAGTAGCCATTATCCAGAATAGTTGGGACCAGAAGTGTTTCAGATTTTGAATATTTTTGAATTTTGGAATATTTGCATTAAACTTACCAGTTGAGCATCTCAAATTCAAAAATCCAAAATCTGAAAATGCTCCAATGAACATTTATTTCTCCTGAGTGTCATGTCAGTGCTCAAAATGTTTCAGATTTGGAGCATTTTGGATTTTGGATTTTCAGATTTGGGATGCTCAAACTGTACTCTCATTAGGTATGTTGGTATGCAACTCAGAGAGAATACCCTCTGTTTTGGAACTTGTAAAGTCAATCTGAATGATAACTGCAATCATTCTTGCAGCATCCTAGTCAGTAGGATGGCCTGGCCACTGTGGGGGCTGCAGCTCAATGAGGAATCTTAAGTCTTTCCTGGAAAGGGACAGAATAAATGAAGAAAGGACTGAGAACCTCCTTTCTAGTCACTGTGACAGCACTGGGACAGAAATAAGATTACCTGAATATCATCATGAGATAACATCACTCTAAAAAAATCCTACCCTGAGATGTGGAGATACAACAGAATGAGCGTATTGGATACCAAACCATTTCTCTAGACGTAGTTCAAATGAAAAGGGCCACTCTGGATTTCACCTTATGAGTATACTTTATAGCCTTGGAATTCAGTTTTAACCTCCTGCAGGTAAGATTTTCCCAAGTCAAGCCTACCACATAGGTCAGTGATCCCAGCAGGCTGGGCAGAACATGTGGTTGGTAGGACTCAGGAGGCTCAGAGTATAACTAGGCTGTGGAGATGCTAATGTTTGTCCAGAGGAATGAAGAAGCCCCAGAAGATGCATTTGGACATTGAGAGTACTTGCGTATTTTTCTTTCTTATGCATCATAAGTCCTCATATGCCATAATGGACACTCTTGCCACTGGCTACAGATCATTCCTAGTTTTTCCTCTCTAGTCATGTCAAATACTGCATTTCTCACAGAAAGCATCATCACCTTTACCAAAATCTGCAATGCACTGCCGTTGGCTTCCTTGAAAATGAGGCTCAAGATCAAGTTAGACAACAAACAGACACTGCTCACAAGCACTTGGCAGGCTACTTTGGACCGCTTACCTTGTGCTTACGCTTGCCCTTAGGGGCTGGTTTCTCCACAGCTGTGACAGCTGTCTGACGCTTGGGTTTTGTGGCAGTCTCCTTGTGGTCTGGCTTGGCAGATGCTGCATGGAGTGAGTTGTGGCCAGGTACTCTAGAGAGTAAGTCAAGGTCAATCTTCACCCAGAGGTTTTTCAGGTTCTCATGATCTCGCAGAGGGGACAGCATTTCAGTTTGCATGACAGGAATGGGTGAAAATGTTGGCTCTTCATTACTGATGGATAAGTTGTTGTTGCTGCCACTGCTACTCATTAAGGTGCTGAGGGTCAGACTAGCACCACAGATTTCCTTGGATTTGGCAGTATTACCTCCAGAAATAATGCATGGAGGCAGGACTTTGATTTGCAGGGTCTCTTCCTGATCTGTGTTGGAGTCAGATGTAGATGAATCTGTTTCAATGAATTCCCGAGACTTTGGCACAATCTTGCCAGGCCCTCGGTACTTCTTCTTCTCGGTAGCCAAGGGGATGTTAGGTCTTGGTTCTTTCCTAGGGGCTGGTTTGTGGGCAGTGGCTTTGCTGCGGCCTCTTGGTGGGTCAGGAAGCTCCATGCTTTCTTTTTCTTTGGGAGTGCTGCTGGTAATGTTTGGTTTGGGCCAGGTAAACTCGTCAATGCTGGTGTTCTTCTCAACCTTTTTGGGCTGTTTTTTCCCAATTGTCCTTTGAGCCACTGTCTCACTAGTTGTTGACAACTTATGCTTCAAAGCCTTTGTTTCTGGAATTTTCTGAGTGGGCCGTGGACGGACTTTCTCCCTAACGAGGCTGAGGAGAGGCCTTTCTTTGGGTTCAGCTGGGACCTGACTGGCATTCGTCTTCACTTTCATCTGGACTTCCATTGGTTGGATGATTGGAGGAGGCAAAGAAATAGTCTCCATGGGTGTTTCATTTTGGCTACAAATAAAAGACTTGTTCTGGGATGTCACTTTGTTAAGCCATTTATCCAGTTGCCACTTGTTGGTTGAGGGTGGTTCAGGCTGCAGATTGAGAAACAGCAGCAAGAATGATTTTTACACTTGGGAAGGATTCAAGAGAACCCTCAGTACAGAGACTACTACTAAAAGCCTTGGATGTCAAGTGACTGTTCACACATATACAAATACACACACTCATAAACACACACCTGCACACACCCACTATCCATAATATTCAAATGACCTAAATAGCCAGATACAAACCAGCTGCAGTCTAGTTATTTAAACTCATTTCTACTCCTTCTCTGAAAATATTCTCTACTTTGGCCAGAAAGAAAAGAATTATTCACAGAGAGATGTTCTAGTGGGTTGGCAGGGATGCCCATGAGGGAAACCTATTTCCAAAATCCTTTGTGGGAATCATCAGTCAACCTCTCACCAGGAGGCAGAGGTAATAGTCTCCGATCCTGAAAGGAACATAAGCGCACCTCAGGTATAATTCAAAAGGAAACGCTTTCCAGCTGCCAGAGTGCCAGTGCCTTCTATGTGATGCTGTCATTCCCTGCAAACAGATTAGGCCTTTTGTATTTTTACTGAAGGACAAAAAGAGTTTACTTCCAAAAAATAGAAACCACTGAGCTTTCTTTGGTGTATGGGCAATAACCAATTTATAGGGACATGCATGCAGACATTAGCATCCACTAAACTATGGCAATGATGTGTACTATTCGGGTCCTTGATTCCTAACTCTGAGTTCTGCCAGCTGAAAAAAGAGTCATCATTTTTATTACAAGAGCTCTTCTTTTGAAAGCCATCAGCTGAGGCTTATGGTACCAGCCAATAGAGGGTGACAGAATTAAAAACACTTGAGTAGTTGTGATAGCAACCTGCACAAGACAATGGCAGGCAAGGGTTGAGGAAGTTGTATCGGCTGCCACTGTGGGCAGCAGAGTTCTCGGGTTGAGAACATCAGCTCTGGATACACATAGACTGGGGTTTTCAGTCCTGGCTCTACCACTGTCTATCTGTGAGATCTTGGGAAAGTTCTTTTTAACCTCCTAGAACTTTATTCTGTCATCTATAAAACAAAGATAATAATAAGTACTCTGTAAGGTTGTCATGAGGATGATATGAGACAATGCAAGTCAAGAGCTCAGCACAGTACCTGGCACACGCATGGTCCATGTTCAACAGGGATTTCTATTATTAATAGCAGTAATTTATTATTGTCTCCTATTTTTCTTTTCTGATTATTGAAAAACAAGTGTATGGAGATCCGGGGGTTGAGGGTGGAATTTACTTGCTGTAACCAAATGCAGGCTCAGGGAAATTGAGTAGCTATCCTGGACTCAGAGAGGATGTGAAGCAAATTCTTTTATTTCAAAATTATTATTTTAGTATTTCATGGAGCTGTGTTAAATGTCTTGGTGAATTATTATCAAACACACTTGAAGGATGCATATTAAAATAAAGAACATATAACATTTAAATAATCATTTTACCTTTAAGGAAAGCCATACTTCTTGGGTCTTACTTGCCAAGTGGCAATTCACACTTTAATCACTTTAGATAGTAAGGGTTAGTGTCCCCAAGGCCAGAATTGGATCTTGACTGGCTTCATGGGTTCTCTCAGAAGACAAGCTGCTAGTCTATTCATTACTATGCTAGTTTTACTATGCTAAGAGTAGCTAAGTGAGTCACACAGCAAATCAGTCACACAGCAAAACATGTATGCATGTTAGGACTATGTGAATATATGTTTTTAAAAAATGCTGTTAAATATCTGGATACTTTTCTGAAGTGGTTATTGTGCTGAATTAATTATTGTGCTGAAAGTGTGACTGTGTGTGTGTGTGTGTGTGTGTGTGTGTGTGTTGAGGGTGCTGCCTCCAGGACAGGCAGATCATGGTTAGGTCTCTGGCACCTTTACTCACCTCTGGAGTGGCCACACGAGGTGCCTCATTAGATTCGCTGTCAGTGGTGCTACTTTCAGTGTCTGAATCTGACTCAGAGCTGCTCTCCGATTCACTGGAGCTGCCAGAACCCCCACTGGTTTGCACTGCAGGTGGGGGCTGGGGAGTGGCCAAGGGTGGGCTGAAAGAAAAACAACATAATTCATTGCCTCATTTACTCTCAAATCAGATGGAAAACAGCCCAGTTCAGCAGAAGGGCCTATGATCCATGAAATACCGGCAGAGTGGGGTTTACCATCCCCATTTTACAGATAGGAAATGTGAGGCTGAGGAGGTCCAGTGACTGGCCCAAGTTGAAAAGTTTGAAGAGAACCAGGCCTATGTGTATCCAAGTTCCTTGGCTTTCCATCACACTGCCTTGTCTTCCAGAAAACCTTGCCACCCTCACTCAACATAAAAACCTTAAGCCAAGTTTGCATGCCTTCTGGATGCGGATATAGATGTAGTGCCTTAGATGTTGAACTGTCCCTTTTTTTTCAGTTAAGATAATTTTTCATTTTTTGTTGCCCCCTTGTTCAATACCCCACAGGTTCATCAAGAGGCTCTGATCTTAGTGAAACATATGGTATATAGTTCTATTACCAAGAAGGAGTGAGTTCAGTTATCATTTTAATTAGAGGAAACTGAGGTTCAGAAAGAGGGTGGAGCTGGTCTCTGCCTCCCAGCTAGTTGGAGAGCCAAGACTAGCACCTAGCACCCTGGCCCCCCAGCTGCCCCAAAGGACACTAGTTGTGCTGAGCGTATCCATTGCTGAGGGCCTGGTGCTCAGCCTCAAAGTGACTAGAGTTGGTCCTCAATTTCTGTCTATTGGGTGTATGAATAAGGGAATGTGACAACACACTCCTAGGCCTCCTCCACCATAAGTTTTATAACCTCCTTGTAACTCTTACAAGGAGGTGTGATCATAAGAGACCAATCAGCTGTAATGATTGATTTTAAGTTTGTAAAGCTGACCAAGCAAAGCATTTGGAAAGTGACACCATTTGCTACTCTGCCTTTATTGATAATCAATACTCCTCCTTACCAATCGTTTGCTCTCTGTGTCCTATAACAAACCAGCCTCAGCTGCATCTGGGCACACTGGGGTATGCCATCACCTTTCTTTTTCTCATTGTCGCTTTGGACTGAATTTTCCTTTCTCTCAGAAATGGGTCTCTAAATTTGGGGGAAGGTTCTAATCTCCCTCTGTCTCTTCAGCCTAACCCCTCTTTGGAGATCAGTTTAGCTCATGGGGAGGGGGGTGCTCAGGGCCTGTTTGTCTGTTTGCCATCTACTGGGCCTTCACAGCCCCTTGCATGCAGCAGCAACTTGACTTGCTCTCTCCCTCACATTCCCCAAATCTGAAGCAGCAGCTCAGTCAAGAGAGCCCAGTCTGGTCCTGGAGATCACCTGGTCCTGTGACCCCATGTTTAAATGTGACAAAGAGGATCCGCAAGGGTTCCCCAGCCCCCAACTCAAGGAGCACAGACATTTATTCATTGCCTGAACCCAAACGAGTTCATGCCTCCACCCCATGCCCTCACTACAGCCTCTTCTCCAACATTACAACTCGCTGAGCTGGAGCCATACTGAGTTGCTGCTTGGGAAGGAACAGGATCCCTTCAAAGCCAGCGAGGGCTCCTCATCAGTCACTACTCAGTGCAGAGAGCCTTTCCACTTCCTGTGCCATGTGTCCTTAAAGACTGGCCCTTTAATCTCCCAGGTAGACATTTTCTTTCATATAGTGAAAGCTCATTTTAAACTGCTATCTGCTAAGTAAATGCGAACTACAAGTACATTCCTCTGTCAAGTACATCAAGAGATTAGGGAAAGTACAAGAAATAAGGAGACTACTGTATCTCCTGAGAACCGTGTGTCTTCCCCCAGCAGTAGGGGGAAAGGGAGGAGACCTATATAACAGGGTTCTTATTTCTCTGTATTCTTTTGTAGATCTCTCTTTAGTGTCAGTAATAATACCCTATTTATGCAAAGTTATCTTTAAATCTAATCAATTGTTTTTGTCTTTGGTTACTAAATAAAGATTGAGAGAACAGAAATCTAAGTGAGACTAATCCAGAGATTAGGCTAATTTGGCCTCAATTCCTCCCAAGTGAAGTTTTAAATATAACACAGAGCATTTGCAACACTGAGAATACTGGGTGGTGGATTGAGGGATAAAATCTAATTTGTATCCACATTTGTGATTCTCAAGTGAAAAGGCTGTTTTCTAGTATCATTTCACATTTATGCACTCATTTATTTTAATAAGAAGCTGGTCATCCTGCTATTACTAAGCTAAAATAGACTCTAGGTTGATTTTGGAATATTTCTGGATAGAGTTCCACTTACTAGATATTTTTTTAGCAACTTCTGTAGGAAACAAAAAATCCCTGGGATTACTTCCTCAAAACCAAACACATTAAGGTGATACACATGAAGTACAGGTGATTTATCTACCAAAATCAACTTATTCCTCAGCTAAATCAAAGTTTCATGGATTTAGTAGAAAAACGTGTGTGTGTGTGTGCGCGCGTGTGTGTGTGTTTTGTATGTATCTTTCTTATCTAAAGCCCTTCTGAGAACAGATGTATTTTAGCATTCAGATGTTTCTAATTTTAAAAAGTAATATGCTGAATATACCATATATAATAGTCTCAATGGGATCTGGATAAGCACCGCTTAATAAAACTTGTTACTATTGCTGCAGTAACATTCACAGTAAGAGGAATACATAAATGTTTTAAATAAATATCTTTACAGCAGTTTAGGTCAGGTTTTATCATCAAATGAGTTTGTCTCGAGGTTAGAAAAAAATATTGGTTCTCAGAATTTGTTGAATTTCAGAATTGTAAGAAATTATGGATGTGAATAGAAACCATATATGAAAATTTGACAATACTTGTAAGTAGATATAAATAAATACATGAAATTAAAATTGTTTCAAACATAAGGGCAACCTTGACTGAGACCCAATGAAATGATACGTGAAATTATGTATCCTAAGAATTTTTGTAGCTAAATCTGTTTCTGCGTTCTCAGGTGGGACCCCACGCACAGTCAATTTTGGCAATGAACACTTAGAGAAAATTAGTATAGGAAGAACAAGAAGAAGTACATCAGCTTTTTATACTTAGACATACAGATGTGGGGATAAGAAGGAGGGTGGACTTTAATTCAGGGAGGACACCATGAAAACTCAAACTAGGGGTGAAGGACTTCAGTGTGTTAGTGAAAAGAAATTGCTTTCTCTGGGAAGTTGCACAGTTGGAAATGGAGAACCAGCATTTGTGGAAAGGAATAACGGTTGCTTAAATGGAGGCAAGACTGCTCTCACCAGCACCTTTCCAGTGCCTCTACTCTCCATCTTCTGCTCATGGGCTTGCTGGAGACTGTAGATGCAGCCAGTCTGCTAAAGAATGTAAGCTCTACATCTGAGTCTGGGCCTCATTTCCTGTGGGCCTACCTTGCGCCCAGTTGGGACTGCTCCCAGGGACAAAAAGTGGGGACAAAAAGTGAGTACAAAACTGAAACATTGTCTTTAAAAGCAGGACAAACATCAATATATGAATAGTTGGCCTAAGGTCACATTCTTGTCTGGAATATACCATGGAACTTTCAAGTTGGCAAAGCATCGTAATATGTCACTTTCAGTTCTTCACTGAAATCTGTTAGCTGTTCAGCTAGTAAAATTTCCACTTCTGCTACATTTATTTTCATACATTACTAATTTATTTTCCAGATGTATATTAAAGTGGCTATGAGTAAAGCTAGCCCATGTAATACTTGATTCTGCCTAGGAGATGAAAAACTAATGCACAGTTTATATATTCTTCATTCACTAAGACTGTATTAATGTTATTTTTCACACATCATTTACTTTCATATTTCAATAAACTGCTTTCAAAAAGAATGCTAGTGGTTACAACAAACATAATGTCTGATACTAAAAATAATTAACATTTGCTATATTAAACCATCCACTCTATAGTCTGTAAATATTAAAAGTGTACTCAGTAACTTCACTACAATGCAATAAAACTTCTCAAAGGACCCACATTTGTAATGACTTCAAAGTCAACTGCTCAACCTTTTCAAAGATCAGATTTTGCTATCTTATTCATCAGAGTGAGCCATCTTTACCAAGTAGAACTAAGCTTCATTTTAATCCCAAACCCATTTGTTAGGTCTTCATGGTCGTAGGCCAGACTGGGGGCAGAGAAGATGGCTTAGCAAGTCAGTGACCCTAGCAGGGGAATCCAAAGCTGGGGAAGGTGATCAAAGGGTAGGCCAGTAGGAGAGACGCTGGGGAGGCGTTTAAGATGCCTTCTCCAGACAGGGTTGGCCCTGGTAGAAAGCTTGAGAGTGCCAGGGGGAAAAGATGGGCTTTAAGAGATAGTCCGGGCATGCTAGACTCTATATGTGATAGTCTTTCTATGCTTACACCACCCAGACTCTTCTGCAATAAAGGGATTAATGTGTAGCACCATAATTAATGAATAGATGCAGAAAAGATGATGAGGCCAAAGGCCACATTGAAGAAACCTACTATTCTGCCTGAATAAGACTCTGGGTTGGGGATGGGGGGAGGGGCACATATAGCTGAAAATTTTCAAACAATGTGCAGGTCTGCCCTGGCAGCAGGGAAAGAGTGGGCTTGTTCTGAACTTCCACGGTAAATACAAAACCAATGAGTTGGAGATCTAGTCAGGAAGATTTTACCTCAACATCAGGAAATACTTTTAAAAACTTACAGCTGACCACAGAAAGAATGCACTACCTTGCATGCCAGTGAACCCTGCACTTTAGGTGAGCAGATAGCCAGCGGCTATAAAGAATGTGGAAGAAGAATCCTTATTGTGGGTCTGAAGTGGGGTTGGATGATCTTTAATATGGAGTCCTGATAAGTAAGCAACAATGAGGAAGGGGCCCCAGGTGTGGGAGGGCCCAGGTGGGGAAGAACAATGAACAGTTGTTCTGAGAGATGGCTAATCCCAAACAATGACCTCATTCCACAGGTACAATGACCCTGCTTCTTGGGCAAAATGACCTCTTCTGTACATAGCCCCCTCCAGCACAACCCTATAAAACTTCCCTCCAGCCCCTGTCTCTTTGCAGACAGCCCCTTCTCTGATGTTGCAACCT